AATATCAACGTATAAATTTAAGTGTATATGTGTCGAATAAAAAAAAAAAACAAAAAAAAACCTTAAACAAAGTGTGGCTTTTAAACAATGTGAAGATGTACATGAGTTTCGACATCATTAAGTAATACCGCTTACAACTGGAAAAAATTGGAACATATACATACAATATCTCAATATAAATTTAATTGTATATGTGTCGAATAAAATAATACATCATTAAGTAATACCGCTTTCAACGGGGGAAAAAAATGGAATATATACATCCAATATCTAAGTATAAATTTAATCGTCTATGTGTCGAATGACCGAACTCAAATTTCTATTAAATTGAATATGAAAAACAGTGAGTGTAAAAGGTATAAATCGCACATATGTACTTATATGAATTTTCAATAAAATATATAGATATATGTGTAGAATGTCAATAAGTGTATAAATCCCACACTTTCAGTCAGGCTTAGTTAAATTTATATTGATAACTTCATGCTGTAAAAATATCAAGGTTTTGTCACTCACTTAAGTTCTCTTTATGTTCAATCGAATATGAAATACAGAGAGTGAGAAAAGTATAAATGAATCATATATATATATTTTCAATAAAAAACTATAGATATATTTATAGAATTTCTACAAGTGTATAAATGAAATACAGAGAGTGAGAAAAGTATAAATGAATCATATATATAAGTTTTCAATAAAAAAAACTATAGATATATTTATAGAATTTCTACAAGTGTATAAATGATAAAATGTCAGTCAAGCCAAATGGAATTTATATTTAATACAATATCAAGTTTTTATCACTTAGTAGTTCTTTTTAAGCAAGAGGTCTCGACAAATCCGTTTGAATATCCAACTTTATCTTATTACCATTTGACAATATGGCAAATATTTTCCCCTCATCAGACCACACAGATTTAACATCCTCGCGGTTCAGTAATGTTTGTACAAGTTTTGCGTTTTTTGATGTCAAATCCTCCCTGATCACTATTCGCGAGCCTTTTAAGTTCCTTCGAGCACGTATAACACTCTTCTTCGTAGCTTTACATTGTCGAACCATCATGATTCAGATCAGCATAATCCAGCTTTACACGTTTTTCAATAGGAGATAAAATAAGCTCCGCCCATTTTCCCGCCCACTAAATCATCGTAAATAAACGTATTTTCCGCTCATTTTCGGTATTTACCGTCGGCGACAAGAAGCGGTGTAGTTTCCGTTTATCATACCTTTTAGGTGTTTAGTTACTAAACATAATTCACTTGATCAACATCAGCGGACTTTAAATTAATATAGGCATTTTAGTTTTAAAACGTTGTAGACACCACATTTCCTGGAAAGAGAAACTTAAAAAAAACAACAAAAAAACACCAGGTTACATACTGTCTGAGGTTAAATATTTTTCAAGGAAGTGAAAACTTTGAAAAGACTATATTCAACGACAAATAAATTTTACTGATGGTATTCCAATTTGCATAGGAATGAGTAACATTTACAGTTAAGCTGCTACCTTACCACTTTCAAATTTTCAAGTCAACATCTGATAGAAATTTTGATACGACTAATTACTAATACAGACCAAATTCTGGCTGTTGTCTTTCCTAGTAGTACTATTATATTAATAATCTTAATTCTAGGGTATGGCTTGACAAGAAAAAAAACTTTTAACAATAGTAAAATTATAACCAAAGTTGTATGTACCCTTTCGTACATAACTTTTTATTTTTACCATATATTTTCCCATTTTTCCCATTTTGTTTTTCAGTAAAATTTAAATGAGTTCAAATATATGTATGTTGATTATCAATTTATGTATACCTTGTTTATTTTATCTCTTAGAAAGCCATCACTTACAAAACTTAATAAATATTCTGTGTAGTATTTCATATACATAAAAGTAGTTCTCTGTTTTTGATCATATAGACAGCAAATCTAGACAGCAAATCTAGGTAACAGCTAATGACAGCATGTATACACATATTTTAGAGGTGCTATTGATTCAGCACAATGCATAAAAAGACCTTAACCTACGCCAGCTTACATATATTTAACAATAAAAGGCTAAATCACATCCTATGACTCAAAATACCTCCCAATGGAGGTAAACAGAGTTGCCAGGATACACTGAATATTTATTTCAACATTAAAATGGAACAAATTCACAAGTTTTGGTTATACAACGGAATTATCGATAGTAAACTTTGCATTGTTTCGTGGTTATACACTTGGTAAAAAATATGAGTTTTTCTACAACCCAACACAGTCCTTTAAAGAAAGAAGGCACATACTTATTGTTCAGTTCTCTTTATTCGTGTTGCCAAAAGTGCCTTCCATGTATCGCATTCTAGTACTATTTGCTGAAGGTAAAAAAAATAATATGCTAAAGACTATTGCCGTGGCTCACAAAACCCTGTCATTGATATCAATGGATAGTGGTGTGTGTCACTATATATGGAAAACATTTCCTTATGTTATTTCACCAACTTTAGTTTTTGCATATTATTATGCTCATTATCAGTATATACGTTGTTACATTTTTACATTATATCTTAACCAATTTTGCATTACTTGAATATCCTGTACTAGAATACGTTTTAACAAAATCAGAGGATGTTCAAAGTCAAGATTGATGTAACAGTTTCTATATAATTTGAAATATTTTTGTACCAGCAAGAGTTACCTCTCTTTATATTCTGCTTTCGTGAAATTGGCTCCGCCTATTAATTTTCGTCTATTTCCGTGATAATTCCATATATGGAAGTTGCAAAATCGTTTACAAATGTTAATCGCGTTAGAATGTAAAAAGAAAGTGTGGTGTTGTAAACCTGAGTGTGTCAAGTTGATGCTGTGACATTCTCAACGTCATGATGCACAGCATTAAACGTATTGTGTACGTTCTATCGTTTACATTTCTACATGTCGCAAATTTGAAATTATACATTTATAAATACAGTTTGCAATTTATCTAAGTTGCATGTTAACAGCTTTCATTTTATCAAATCGAGATAATTAAAATGCTTAATACCAATGCAGTATGTAACTCTCGGATCGACAATTAGATTTTTACTAATCTGTTTAGTAGAACCGAAGTATGCATTGTCAAGTTTCAAAGGCTGGATTTTTGGCAACGAATAGCCTCTATACACAAGGACAAGGGAGTACACATTACACATGATGTTAATCAGCGTATATTTACTTTGTTTACATGCAATATTTTAAGAAATTGTAGAATGCAAACAAGTTGGAAATGGAATTTAGTGTGAAAAGAAAAGGGACAACTACACGCTGTACGTTTTTAAAGTTAAATTTAAACATATCTCACAATCTGCTCTGGCCTCTTTATACATCTTTACAAACAAAGTTTAAAAAATGCACCAGTAATTGGCGATGATTTTAACAAAAAATATTTTGTGTGAGACATAAAATAAAAAAACAAATATATTTTATTGTCTATACGTAAACAGCGTATGTTAAATCACGGACCTCAATTGTCAATTCAGTTTAAATATACAACCATCAAAATAAAGTTATTAAATTTATTGTACAAGCATATCTGTTAAGGAGAGATTTATTGTATAATAGATCATGATTAATTAAAATTGAACTGTCCGTAAATGCATAACATGTATTGATATGAATTTACTATTATGTTAATAACATGTTAAAAACTATAACACATGCTCAGAATATGATCTTTTGTTAAGGTGACTTATAGGTCCTATGGGCCGGGTGTTCATCTTTGTGTATTTATGTGTATGTATATACGTATAACACATGTCACTATAATAAAGAATTTACTTACTTACTTATACATGCAAGCATGCATGTACGTATACATTATTTCTGATAAAATAAATACTAGAATCAGCGTTTTTCATTAGGTAAAATAGGGACAATGCAGAGTTTTGCTTATTCTAAAATTATTAAAGAATTAAGATATTTAATTTCATCATTAATCTAATACTCGTAGCACTTTGGTGGATAGATTCATGACTTCTCCAATCTACGTATTTTTACATAGAAAACAAAATTTTGTACGGTATATCTGGGACAGAAAGATACTCTTTCATTTTTAGTCCCAGTTTCCTAAAATCATTCCATATCATATCACCATTTCTAATTTTGATAAACAGTGACACAAAAACAATGCCAAGCGCCGGCATTTTTCTCAAATTGACATGCAGGGAAAGTATTGCTCCGAAAGTTATTTCTTTTTCACCATATCAGCTTTATTTTCCTGATGGTTTTAAACCATCTCAATCATGCTTTATGCAAGTTTAACTCCAGGAACATCATTTTCATTGAGACAAATGTGAATAAAAGTATTCGTAACCATTACATGTTGTATAATCTACATGTAGATTAACCAGTTTCCTTGTCCGAAAGTTATCGATATGTGGCTATTTTTAGAACAGGTCTCTTATCAGTGACGTATACGATGCTTATCTCAGATCGTTCCCTATTATATAATTATCTGATAAAGTAAATATTTGTTTAAGGTCAGAGGTGTCAGGGAAAATTACTATTTCTCCACCCAAAGGGGATTTGGAGAGTATTTCATTTATTGAATTTGCATTATTGACACTTTACTACATGTATTAGCATAATTGTATTGAAAACTTGTTATTCTTAAAACCATTTGATTTTGATCATTCTTAAAGACGTTAACGCGCGTTGGAAAGCATTTATTTTTATGTAAGAAAGCATATTCTATATTATAACATGATTGCCCCCCTTCCCCCCCCCCCCCAAAAAAAAAAAAAAAACAACAACAAAAAAAAAAAACAAAAAAAAAACGTTTCTTGTATAATGGAGAGATCAGACGGTCAAATTTTGGAATTTAAGTTGCTTTTTTTTCCTTCTTCTGCTTCTTCTCCTTCTTCTGCTTCTTCTTCTTCTTCTTCTTCTTCTTCTATCTTTCATTTACGTTTTAATTATACGCACATATAAATAGTCCTGTACAGTATAGTTTATTTAAAGACAATTAATTGTTAGCACTTATTACTTTGTATATGTCTCCTTTTCTTAAAAATTTCCTGCTTTCAAGCTACATTTGATATTAATTATGGATGGCTCGGGAGTTGTACTCTGGTTCCAGAGGGTACCGGAGATAATGCGTAGAGGTGTAATTGAGGTCCATCGATAAAGCCGGAGTCTTAATCTCGTCGTGACTTTAAAGACAGCCAAATAATCAAATTACGATATCTAAGAGAAAATTAGGAAACGTTTATTTCCATATTTTGGTATCATTTAATAGAACCTTATTAAATTAGCATTTACCTACTTCTATAATATAATTAGACGTTCTGTTCTGTTCTAATTTGCCGTAAGGTGATGTTTTCTCTACAATTACCCATCTTGTCGACATCTGGACAGAAAGAAAAACATGTTACGCGTTTGCACATTTATGTTAGATCAATTAACTTGATATTAATAGACACATATGTAGGAAATTGTTATTCAGTAAATGTATTTCATGCCCAGAAATAAAGCTCATATGTATTTTAATTACGACAGAATTCCATAAATGTTGAAGATGTTAAATTATTTTAAGGAATTTACAATCTAACTACAATGACATTTGTAGCGTGGTTAAAGTAATTATGTGTGGCAATGAAGTCATATATATATTTGACACGAGATTAAATTATTGTAAAGAAACAAAGCGTTGTGATCAATTGACCAAACAGTGTTGAAATAACGTTGTTTTTTGTGTACACGGAGTATTAAATACAGATTTGTTTTTGATAGTAAAGGTAAACAAAGAAATAAACATTTTAAGTTATATATGTACATTTTTTATTTAATCAGGCGTGTTAATCAACGCGCCCCCGCGGGGGCTATTAGATGAGGTAGTGTAACTCTCGATAACTAATTCTGTGAGAGTCACTAAAATTCTGATTCATTCAGTAGGCTACAAAGAGTTACTAATGAAAGCCACCCTGTGACCCCGTGTAAAAATTTGATTATAACGGAGGATAGAATTTCAGCGTCAGTCAGAGCTTTGTTTGCGTTTATGACAGAGGCAGAAAATGTGGTTTTACTTTGTAGATATCTTTAAATTAACATGTTAGCATATCGGAATAAGCGTGCTGCGGAATTTGTATTTTAGATGTAAAGTTTCTCAGAGATGATTTACAAATTGAAATGATGTGTAACAAAGTACAGTGCTGGTTTTTGCGATATCTGGATAGGGGTGTCTATTGTAAGAGGATGGTAGCTTAGATTACTCCAGAGCATTCACGATTTATTTCAAAGTAGATTGGAATTAGATTGCGTTACAAGTACAGTGCTTTATTCTCTTTAATGTTTTCTAGGATTTTTATTTAACTTGAAATTTTATCTTGGGATTTTAATATGAGTTCTGATAAACAAACAGACGGTAGTTCGAAGCCTTCGGGTAACGGTAGTTGTTTACGACCTGGCATTCCGGAGTCCGATACCGGAGAAAGCGGCGAGGAATCTGAGCCGACCTACCGGCATTATGACAACTTTGAAACAGACGTTTGTTTGACACAGGATGAAGATGACGATCCTGCAGATTTTAACGCCGGCGTCGTCGGTAATCTGGATCAGAACTTACAGCCCGTTGTGAATAAGGTTTTAAAAAATAATTCATCTGTTATGGACGCAAGGGAATTTATACAAAAGGATTTAAACGTGATAAATCGGGGTTTAAGCAGTGATTCAGATAGTTGTACTGAAAGTGAACTAACACAAGGTCAAGGTCAGGTGACAGACGACACTACCACAACAAGTACTTCGGAATCCGAGGAAACTCAAATGTAAGAATTTTATCAGATTTCTTTTTTTTTTGTAATAAGAAGACTGATTTCCATATATCAATAAAAAAATCGATTTTTTTCGACATGGTCGAAATAACTATCACATTTTTTTCCTCAACTTTTGACCTCAAAATGGAAGCACATTAAACGCCCAACTGTTCCTTTCTCGACTTACAGATAATAATCTGAATGTATTACTATTTATCCGGATGACAGGCCACCATTATCATTACCCCCAGAAGTTGTGACAATTATGAAATATTGCAGATAAAGTTGGCCGATTAGTAACAAAACCATGACATTATAGATTAAAGTGACCCAGAAATAATAATAATAAAATGCGTGATCAGGTCGCTTATTCTGATGCTTTGTTATTTGTTATTGAAAAGAAAGTAAATAAACACATTAAGTACAATGTAAACATTTACAAGTCACAAATAAAAAGCAATGTATCGCGAGAAGACGGATTTTTTTGTGACAAGCGTGAAATGTGACACGCAAATATTTCATTGATTATATCGATAAATTATCGATGCTCGAACGATGAACAAAGAATCACGAGAATGCCACCTACAATTTTGACACTTCCGGATTGTCTCGAGCACATAGTACGGCTATAATGTTGACCACTAATAGTTTATTGACTTAACGAATGAATGTGTTGGTTGCAGACGACAATCAGTCGCATGTAATGTAACAAAGGACTTTTTCATCAATGATGAATTTCTCATATTGAAAAGGTCATCGTAGTATAATCAACGCCGCTGACCATCTCTTTTCACATTTCCATGGTATTTTGTCACCTTTGCCAAATGTCCACTAAAATGTAGTATTGGTCACATGGAAAGAAATCACCCTGACGCATATGTTACCCATATGTTATTGTTTATTTTTATTATACAATCAATTTAACGATCCAACTTTGAACGTTAAATCCTCTTTGTTATTTTAGCTATATTTTATATTTTTTTTACAACAAATTTAAAGATAACATTTTTTATGAATACAATTCTGATAAAATGATAATTTTTTTTACAAATACTGAAATACAAAATAGTATCGCGTTATCATGTGTGAGAACCGTAATAAGAGATAATAAAAATCCAACATTTTTTATGAAAAAAAAAAAGAGATTTCTACCATTCGCATTTACATCCTATTACAAAATACAAATCAGTTATCTGATTCGTTAAATGTTAGTATTAGTGCCAGATTCTGTTCGGTATACGGACATTGCCCCAGGACATTTGCCCTTCCCCTACTTTAAAACGAATCACTGGACATTTGCCCCCCCCCCCCGACACGCAGTGAACCTGTGCTCCCCAGGACCTTTAATTATTTTGTTTTTGAAAATTAAAAATTTGTTTTAAATAACGGCATTGATTCGTTTTGTACTTATTGTCTTACATTGCGACACTCTTCAAAATATGTCCAGAAACATGAGAAATGCATACGATAATTTAAATAAATTATTGCTAAAACACTATTTTTACAAATTATTCTTATGTAAATTCTAATAAAAATGCGAAACGAATATAGCTGAACATTTAATGCTGTTTATGTTGACAATTATTTGGAAGCTGGACAAATCTCCCGTCTGACTATCCCAATCTAAAATGTAACAAACTGCTCAAGTAAGTATGCCAAAAATGAAACATGCTCATGTATCTTTAACCAATTTTATTTTACAGTTGGGTACCAATAAACAAAAGACCTTCGGCCCGCCTGGTTCAAGACACTACCAGCGACCCGCCACCTAGTGCTACGTCATCAAACGGCAGTGATCATAGCCGCCCTCAGAGCTACATACATAAAGCCGGAAGTGTACCTCCCGCCGGCGTCGGCAGTTTAACATACGTAGCATCTCCATCCGGGTTGTCTAGGATGGAGAAGAATAACAGCCGAGCTGGGTCACATGACAGCGGCAGACGAGATTCAAGAGACTCTTGGCATACCCTGCAGTCGAATCTTCAATCTTCCGGCGTCAACAAAAGAGTATCTCCGTCAAAACAAGTCAGTCTCGGACTGTTACGTCACGATGAGACGACAGGAACAATTACCCTAGATATCAGAAACGTTCCGAATGGGGATTCTGGTGAGTTCTTAAACCAGATATAATTAAGCTAAACATTTTCACTATTTTTCAATTTAGATCTATTGCATTTTTCCCCTCTGCGCAAAGCTGTTTTAGCAGATGTTCTCAATTTGTAGTTACGATACATCTTTTTTTAGTTTTTATTGCAGACAAAAAGAACTGTCTCTATGAATCGTCTTTATTATAACATGTTTTGCATTCGTAATTATCCGGATGTTTTTAGACATTTTTGTGCATATCAAAACATATGTGACTATGTCAAAATAAAAAAAGATGTCTGTCAGTAGATATTGTAAACATTACAATTGACTTCATTCCATGCACATGCTGCAAATTCACTTTAAAATCAACAGCTTCTGAAACACCTGTCATTCGTTTACTTTCGTTTACTTAGAATTAGGAAGTCTTCAAGCTTACTTTTTATTTGACAAATTTAATTATATATTTCCATAGGTTTGTTTTGGGATGATGGTGGTGTATTTAAATCTACTTGATTACACATTAACATACGTATTTTATTATGCTATGTATGTTATGTAAATACTAATAATTGTAAAATGTAAAATGAAAGTATTATATAAAGAAAGTGTAAACACGGACCTGAAAACAACAACAACAACAACAAAAAACATTAACATACCTGTATTACAAATTTTACACTTTCTTAGTACAGTGGTTTCATTCATTTTTTTTTTATCGGTGAAAACCCATGTCATTTTTTATTCTAAAACTGTACAATCTTATCTTAAGTTTTGGAAAAACAACCCTTTTTTATCAGCTATTAAACTAAGTTCTAGAAAAAAATATCATGTGTACATGAAACATCTAAATGTAAAAATAATTTTCAAGGATTTTGTTAGACACAAAAATAAAACATTATGGCAGTATGGTGCCAATTATTTTTTTCAGAAGCAGGGGTGTTTTTATTTTATGAAAATTGCACAAATGGGATGGGATTTTTATCGCCATATTTTAAAGATTACATTATGAAAATAAAATGTGAAACAGAGATTTGATGTGTCGAAAAATAAAACTTATCAAAGAAAAGACAAAAAAGCAAAGAAACCGAGGCGAAGAAAAATCCCTTATCTTATTCTATTATGTTTTGTACATGCTAAATCTCAGGTTAGCATAATTTAGTTTCAGAGGCGAAGTTTTTGAAGGCTTTCTTTATCTTAGAAAGATTAAAGGCTTTCTTTGAGAGATTTAAGGTTTTCTTTGAAAGCGGGTTAATTTAATTAAGAGCGCAATTTGTAATGCATATTTGCAGTTAGGATATCGCGTGCAACATATGTACGTTCCATAATCGTTTACCAAAACTATGAAAATCATTAAAACTACATTCTTTATTGTAAGTCCATGTATTCTGTGTCTATAATTTTTACAGCTATTATAAAACGCCTTTATGTCTTAAAATATAAGACAAATAGGTGCATTTTCAATTCAAGAATGGAATTCGTCATCAGACTCATTTAATGTTACAATAGGTACATTTTTGTTTGATACGCCCAAAACGTAAGGGATGAAAGCATTTTCTCAGATTTCTTGTTTTACACTAAACGTCTTTGTCATTATCAGTTATGCACACACATTTTCAGGTACTTATGACTGGAAAATGTATATTTAAAAAACACCCAAAAACATGGAGTAAAACTGCACGCCCCATAGCCCATGCTGTGATGGATACATGAACAGATGCGTCAATGTGATATATACTAATAATATTTGTAAGCTAGATGCAATCTGGAGGTAATTATCAGCCGCACAGGACGCGCACGTGCGCGATCAAAATCTTTATAGTTTTTTGCTTTAGAAGAAGATGAAATATTCCAATGGTCTTTAAAATGGTCTTATCAGTATTCAGAAAAAAAAGAATTAGGGCATTGATGGTACAGATTAAATAAAATATATTTATTACGGTTCTTCATAGAATATGTTCAACTGAAGTTTTCGGGCCAGTAAGATTTCTTATCAAAATGTTACGGTACGATATTTCGGTGAAACGGAATAACTATGTTCGGTATGCTTCCTTTCCGCTTCAACCCTATTGCTAATTTATGATCGGAGCATAAGTTGGCTGTACCATAAACATTATTTTTTTTAACTTTATACTGAAAACAAAACAAAAACAAAACAACACTTACTGACTGGTGCGGAAGAAAACCTCTAACATATTCAAACATACATACATACATACATACATACATACATACATACATACATACATACATACATACATACATACATACATACATACATACATACATACATACATACATACATACATACATACATACATACATACATACATACATACATACATACATACATACATACATACATACATACATACATACATACATACATACATACATACATACATACATACATACATACATACATACATACATACATACATACATACATACATACATACATACATACATACATACATACATACATACATACATACATACATACATACATACATACATACATACATACATACATACATACATCATACATACATACATACATACATGCATATGTTATATTACCAAAATTATGGAACACGTTATTCTTTATCATTCTTTATTGAACTACATGTATTTATTCTCTTGCATGTATAAAGACATAAGATGTCTTTCATTCTTACTGCTATCATACAACGCTTTCAGATCTTAACCAGTAAGACAAATAGACGCATTTTTCAATTGAAAAATGGAATTCGTCATCACACTCATGTCATGTTACAATAGGTACATTTTCTGTTTGATACGCCCGAAACGTGAGGGATGAAAGCACTTTCTGATATTATTTTAAAACTTCATCGAAATCTAGCTTACCTAGAATTCAAGTGTTTTTTTATAATTAAAAGATGACCTGATCATCAAAATTCGCGTTGATTAAATAGCTTCTAGAAAAAAGTTTTACTGTGGAAACATCGCGATAGTCAGATATTTCAGTCTGTAATATAGATAATGATAACCTTTGTACTGATTGGCTAATTATGAGTTATGATGATTTCTTTAGAAAGATCTTAAGGTTTATCCAGGCTTTACATATGGCATGTAAACAAAATTGTCTAATCTCAAAGATTATACAGACCTCTTGCCTTATTGTTAGGATGATAGTCCAAAACAATTTAACGCTTGCCAGATACAGGTTTGGTTTTATGATCAACAAATTTCAGTTATTAACATAAGTTTATTTACAAATTATTGTTGAAAGGCCGTAGTATGTAGATTGTGAGAAATTCAGGCGGGTCTGGGATAGAGAGATTGTATTATTATCTATATGTATTGTTAACTCATGATGTTGATTTATGTTTATTCTTGTTCATGAAATCACCGCATAGTCCATCGTTTGTTTCTGGGTTGTTTTGTTTTATCAGGAATATGTATATCTATACGGCTAGCCGTCTATACCACAAGTTTTATAATATATATAAAATATATATAATGAAATTGTTTCTTTAGAATTACCATCTGCAATCTTACTGGTTGTAATCATTGAAATAAGATGACATACTACTAATGTTGTAGTGTGTAGGTCAAAAGCCCTCCCGGACATTAAATAAGACTAAGTGGACAAAAGCCCTTTCATGAAATATGTCCGTTTCCCGCCAATTTAAACTTGAAACTTGGTTTACCTTAAATCGAGCTTTATATATACATGAATCATTCAACAATATATACGTACATTATAACTGGTATATATATATTTCTTTAAACAAAATATTTAAATCTAGGGATATTTATGATACAGTTTAAGATACTTTTTATCGAATAAACACCGGATGTAGATAAGTTTTATTTCATTTTGGCGCGTTGAAGGTAATGGCTGCTTTCATCATTAGAAAAACTTATCAGTACCTTCTCAAATTACAAATATCAAAGAAGACTCTTTATTTATTGAGAGTGTTTTTAAAAAAGTTACAAAAATGCGATCATTTGATGAATTTTTAAAAATTCATCTCTGAAATGTTTTTTCTTCATTTTACAAATAAAGCATTTTGTTATTTAATGTCTTTTTTGTTTGCCGTCTGATAAGTGTTTAAGAGTCTCCCTTTCTGAGACTTATATTATAAAATAATAAAATAACTGTAGTTACGACGACGACGGCGAAAAAAAAAACAAAAAAAAAAAAACAACCACAATCCAGTGTAGTCATAGCGCAGAGGCTGGTGCCATGATTTTCTTATTGCCCATTTTTTTATCTATATCTTATCTCAATATGAACTTGAAGAACCCTCAGAGGCAGACTTATTGTAGCAAATACATTTTCCATGTATCTTTTTTACTCATCTTACACTCATTATAGGCTGTAAAGATTATAAGATCGAAACTTCTTGAGTGTATCAGCACACAGTAACATGAAAATTGTAAAACTGCACGGTTATTCCGTGATAATGAGGAATTTAGATTTTCAGAGCAAATTTTTTGTGAGATTAGTATTATAATAGGGATCTGAAAAAATTAAAATGGCGATCGAAATTGGGAAAGAAATTCTGCAAGGTACAGTGAAATATTACTTGTTCCTTACTAGTTTTATGGATAAATTTAAACAGAAGTAATATAAGTAGGTAATGTCTAGCTTATTCAATGAATAAAATTTTCGTTTTTGTGCGAACCTATTTAGAAAATGTTCAAGGAAAAGATTTTTTTTTCAAAACATAAAATATATGATTTTCTTTACATCCATATGAACATTTATACAATCTAAACAAAGATATAGATTGTGAAAATGTGTAAAACAATGCATTGGTACAAACTTATCAGGCACAATGTGTATGATCTATGGACCAATTGAGCAACACAAATAACTTGCACGCACATGTTCGCGCACGCACGCACGCACACACACGGACACACACACACACACACACACACACACACACACACACACACACACACACACACACACACACATACATAGATAAACTTAACTATCAGCAATGGTTTTAAATAGTGTGCAGTAATATGTATGGGTGAATGTATAATTAGAAGATATTTAAATACATACAATAACATGACTTTAAAGTTACCAAGTAAAGAAAATATCTAAAAAAGATGATCTTCAATTTCTAACATGATACAGGTTTAGGACAGGACGAGGGACAATTTACACCCAGTGATGAAAACTCGAACACGGGAGCTGCCAACGTCTCTATGCTGAAAGGAAAAACTACACGAGAATACAAGTTTGGACAAAATATGAGGTATTTTTATTATGACTGTAACATCATTTTTGTCAAAAAGAAATAGTGTTTCATTTACCAGATACTTTTACTGAACAAATATTTGACTTTCTTGTATGTTATAATAACGATCATCGAGTATATTATTACGTCACTAACACGCCTTTCCTGCGCGTCTGTCTGTTTGTGCCCAAGTACATCCGTGCCCGAGCAATACTGTTCATAGCATTGTCATTGTCATTGGTTTTACATTACTATGTTTTGTAATTTGTTGATATATTATTGTTTTTCTCACATTCATATGCAGTTAGAGCTTGAGGTATCAATAAAACCTGAACCTTGGTTAATATCACTGTCTCCAAAGCACTTGCCACTCACCGCTGAGGTCTGTATTTTCGCAAGGGACTTTGTTAAGCTACTTTGCATATTGCGATGGATCGACATGAGTCCTCAGATATCCGCTTTTCTTCTTTTCATAACAGCTATCTTAATCACTGCACCAAATCAACAACTTGATTTTACCCTATGTCTTATTCATAATGAAATCTGATTATATATACATTGTATGCAGTTTCACAGAGAGTGTATGTGTGGTGTGCAGTGGACTATACATGTTGTTTGTTGTGGTTTGCGGCCTGATTCTCCCAATATCCGAGGTCTTTGTAGCGGAACCCTATCCTGCTCTATTTGAGGTATTTTATCATTTTCCTCCGTTTCCGTAACATTTTAGCGTTCATAAAGCTCATTTCTTAACCGTATTGTTATGTTTACAATAATAATGAAGGATTTGGTTTATTTTCTTAAAAAATTATGTTTATATAGTGTTTTTATCACAAACGCTTTAAACATGTATATGTAGAAGTATATTTATATTCGTATGTAACGATTCAGCAAAGAAACATGAAAAAATTTAGAGCAAGAATTATGTCCCATTACATCAGTGAGTAAGACAACATGAGTTTTGGTTGATTCTCAATCACCGCCTGTCTATGAAAATGTTTTATATTTCAGGGATTTTATATCTATCTTTACGTTATGAGCATTGCGTTTCTTGTGTACGCATACTCTTACCTCCTGAGGATTCGAACTTTCTCCGTCGGCCGCCGAGGTCGAACCATAATATCGTCTGTTCCAGTGCAGAACCGGAAGAGGAACGCCAGCGTTGATGAGACAGAACAGCAGACCGGAAGTTTTTATCTCCGTCTCGGAGCAGTCGGTGAGTATTTCATATTGTTTTTAACTTTTTATACATCAATGTTTCTCATCCTAGACAAAGAATTACAGGTGTTTATTGCTATTTAACTGTCAGTATCACTTCGCATTGAATATTTTGATAACTTCTGCGAACTCAGAGAGTTGCTTAGGGGATGTCTGTAAAGGTCAGTCTAATTACAGTTAAATGTGCATTCATTAATTTTAAAATGTTTAGCTTGACCTTTGCCCAACGTACTCGGGGAAGCGATCTCGAAGACGCAATGATCGTATCAGACAAATTTCATAGAATTTTATGCAATCAAAAACCTGTTTCATTACAGAAATGTTTCTTTATTTCAATTTATTTATGGATGATTCGACTCATTCAAGATACAATATTTGTCGCTTACTTATATAAGATAGTGAATTTATTGAGTTCATATCGTTATTTTTATAGGGTTTGGGATAGGTAGCATGATAAAAAGCGGACTTCACTTTGGAGAATACTTTGAGATGACAACTTCGCCAAATTGTGCGCACGTGCTGTTCGGAATTAGACCAATTCTACACCTCTGTTTCACATTCATTCAACTTTATTTCGTTTTTCTAAACTCAAAGGTTGGTATTTATGTTCTGCTTATCGTTATAACATCCCTTGACATCATTTGAAAATAAAGGACAGACCTATTTAAAATGACGGTGATTAAAACATCGAGCGGATTGGCGTGAACATTTTGAGTAAAGTTTAAAAGATATTGCTCAGTACAATGTACATAGTAAATGATCTTGAAACAGGTACAAGTTTGTAATGAATTGTATGTGCTTGCTAAGTCGCTGCTAAATTCTCAGCAAAGGAGATATAATGTAGTGCTCTACTTTTAATGTGCGTTTCAGTTCAATTCAAGAAGAAATTATTGAGGAGCATGTCCATTCCAAAACATGTGATGATACATCTGCAACGTTAATGAGTTATAAACTCATCATTGTTGCCTTTGGTTATCTTCAAAATTGAAAAAGTTTTTTCTTTATTTAACAAGATGATGATACATCGATACCGGTATCTGGCAAGGATTGGCCTTATGCACATGATCGCCACCAATCTGGCTGTATGGTTTGAGGACGTTGTCAGAGAGACACTCCGAGAACTTGGCAGAACTTCCGCTGTGACGGACGGAGATAACTCTTCTGTACCAAACAAGATTGTTACACTTCGTCGTAAGTGGTTATTCTTATTTCAAATACTTTATCTCTTATTATTTTTTAATGATTTCTGGAAGCTGTTACTTTTCGTATCAAACTTTCATGAAAGCGAGGAGTTGACAAAAAATGCCATTTTGTTCTTTTCTGTACCAATTGGCGCTTATTTCATGTTTATAAAACTCAAATATGGATGACAATTGCCACATATTCATTTGCTAATGATACCTTGGGCCAAAAATGTTTTGGTCCCAGATGATACATAATTAACATTGATTAATATCTTACTGATACAAATTTGTTGGGACACCTGGTAGTTTAATGTCATTTAGTTATTTTCTTGATGTGTGGAAGTTTATAATGATATCACGTAACAAAATGTTATCGTAGTATTTTGATAGTCCTAAAGTAATGAAGACTTTAGTGGTGCATTCCACTCATTAATCAATGTAAGTGATGTCATGATTATCACAAATTATCATCTTGCTAACGGCACATTCTCTTATAAAATACAATGTTTCGATACTTTTGTAACAGAGCCATTTAAGGTGTAATCTAAACTAACTAATACACTTTAAAGCAGTTTAAATGTCTAAGAATAGCAACGAAATAAACATTATACGGTGGAGCTACCACACATTTGTTATTGTATTTAAGCGACTGGATTGAGGATGTTAGAAGAGTACGGATTCCCACATTGTCAAGGAGATTCCCTGATGGGAGAAGTTGTTGAAATGTCCAGTCCCTATCTGTACCCGTGTAGTATTTTGTACAGTATAATATGTGCCAGTAAGTAGTTATCTTACCTACCTTATCTTAGGCGACAGTATTAGTGCCTTGTTTTTTTTATAGCGTAAGTCCGATTCACCGGACCATTATATTTATGAGTGTGTAACCTTGCATCTGCTATTTTCTCTCAGTAAAAACATGTTTTTCTCTTGTCATGTTGTTTTTCACAGCGCTTTTATGTCAACTAATATTTGCTTCTGTTCCTTATGTGAATAAAGATAATTTCACTGTCGATTATTAATTGAATTAGTTGATATGGAACTTTTGTGGTGTTTTAAACGTGTGTATTAAAATGAAACAAATGCGCATTTTGAATGTTTTTGATTTGTTTCGACAGGTATCTTATTCGTGATGTGGCGTAATCTTGGCAAGCGAAACTTGAAACATGACCGAACATCAGAAGAATCTGTGCCAAAGGAACGCTCAAATGTAGATTGTTCAAGCTCAAGTAGAGGCTTGTTTCTTGGTATAATCATATTTGTTGCAGCCGTGATAATACTTATAACATTTTTTGTACTGGTGCGAACAGACGAGTTTATGAATACGGCTGTTAGACTTTACCATTTGGGAGACGTTGCAATATTTGTCGTTACCACAATATCACTAATTTTGGCTTTTCACCGGACGCATGGTTTGCGCTACACTGACCAAGATCAAGGTCCTGGTTTTGAAGAGGCTTTGCTAGTGATTTCCGTTATTGGAGTGTACATTTTGTGCATTACAAACATTATCGCGGGAATTCTCACGGATGTTGAACATTATGGACATTTGATTATCTTATCAAGTTGCCTAAGATGTGTGCAGGCGACTGTACAAACGCTCTATTTGTTGACCACAATGCGAAAGACTGTTTGGAAACGAGAGCAAGAGGAGACCAAGACAGGGCGCGAGTTTGTGACATTTTTATTAATTTGTAACATTGCATTGTGGGGCATGAATATTTTTGAAGTTCAGAGGTCAGAGGCTAACCCTGTGCAGGTGGACTTTTATGGAAGTGTTGCTTGGAATATTATCACTCACGTTTCAGTGCCTTTCGCTATCTTTTACAGGTTTCATTCAACAGTTTGTTTGGCAAACATTTGGAAACATGCCTGGAAATTTAGAAATTAGTTAAAGGCCATATATTTTCTTATCATAGTGTAGGAAAATTCTAATAGATATTGTCTAGATATTGGCAATACATTAACAATACTCTGTTTGAAATATATTTATTGGCAGCTCTTGTCTTCTTTGTAAGATTAATCAATCTAGTCCACTTATTCTTATTTTTGTTCTGAATTATTTTAATACGCGTGGAACAATTTATTTTTTGTATATGTGGGACCAGTCTTGTACAGGACGGTTTCGTTTCTTACATATAATATCATCATTTAATAATAAAAATAAAATAAACAAAGCTTAAACTTTTGATATCATTTGAATATAATTGTTGTATGTTAATATTTCAGCAGAGCGGTATAATGATAAAATATTTCAATTATTTCAATCGAAAGCTACCATTCATCTACAATTTTCAGAAATAGCCAACATACATCTTCACCTTTGTAAATTATACTGTACTTGATTAATTTGAATGCAGAACAGAATCGAAGAATGTTAAATCGTCGGTGTTTTAATTGAAATGTGAATAAGCTTTTATTTCGTCTCAAATGTAGTGATTTGTTATGCAATTAAGACCGATATACTCACCAACTTAAGACTACAGGGATGCTAGGCTGCAATCTTCAAATTACAGCAGTGTAGAGATAAAGTGATCTTTAAAGCATCTTTTATTTCAGTTAAGTCTGTATTGATATTTTTAGGAAATGATTATACTGCAATATAGTGCGAGTAAATGAATAATTTTAAAGTGTAAAAGTAGTAAAAGATAGCTAGGTTAGAATTTTAGTCGCACCGACACCAACACCGTTTACACCATATAGCAGCATTCATGCTTTAAAGTGGAGAAAGACACCCCCCACCAAGTGACCTCTCCAGCCTTTTTCAGGATTGAGAAAGTACCTTAGAAAGAACTGCTTGCACTTTGCAATAGCTCCCTTTTCATATGAGTGTTCAATGTTCCTGATGTGTTACGTTGTAGAAACCTCTTTAGCATCACCTGCTAAGAAAGTAAAAATCAAAGACATTTGAATCAAAACAGCATTACAACGAAAATAAAAGCACACCGGATGCATATACATGTACCTATCTAAACATTAAAAGGTCAAAGAATTAGTATGTTTCAAATTTAAAGGTCACCTTCAAAAAGTACAACATAATTAAAAATGCTGAGCGTTCCCTTTTTAATTAAATTCGAGTGCATAAGGTCAAGAAGTTTTGAATATACTGACATACAGCAAACCTACTTTAACGCATGCAATTATAGTATCTCCAACGGAGCTTATCACTATATCAAATTTAATAACGAAATTATCACAAACTTTATTGTTGTCTTACGTTATATGAATCATTAGCAATCAATCTCCATGAAATATCTTTAGCCTTAAGAAAAACTAAGCCAGATAGAACGAAATCATTTGTTGTTAGACACTGCGCAAATAACATGAATAAGTCTCACAAATCCACTGAGAACACTCAAAACGTTTAAAAGAAAATGAACACCAGAAATGTAATAAATTGAGCGAGAACCTGGCGGAGGATGTCGAAAATAAGATAAGAATAAAAAAGACGACACACTCCCTAAAAAGACCAACAAAATAAATAAATGAACAAAAAGAATATAAAAAGATTGTTTGCCGGATAGTGCTGTGCTGTAATTGAAACATATAAATGAAAAATTTACACAATGATATCGTCAACAGAGTACATTCAACAATAAATACTTTGCTAAAATACAAAATTCATTAAGGAATATCACATTCATTCAGAATAGGGATATTATACAGAACATGTTTAAAACAAATGAAAAATCTATAGGACGTAAACCTACATAAGAAACACGCAAAGAAAAATATGTACGCTGGGTTAAATTAAGCTTTCTATTCATCATTTGCAAATTGGTTGTAGAATAAGCTATTTATTGACAAAAATAACAGTGAAACTACACGAATTAACATACACTGATATTGTTTAAGTTTATTTAATTCCTAACAACACATTAAACATTGTAACTTTAGACAGGGACTTGCAAGTAGTATTTGACAGACGCTGCCTAAAATTTTTGAAACTTTTCATAAAATGCCAAATATGTTTCTGACTTTAACGAATCAAATAGAAAAAAAATGTTTCACAGTGTTTATTTTACAGTTTGAAATCCGTCGTCAGTATGTAATAAATAATTTGATGTTCCTAAATGCGAGTTCGAATTCCCCGAACATTAGAGATTTGACTGAATCTCGCCTCTAATTCAGATGTTAGCTTTTCTTATCCGAATTGCGTCCAAATCTTTAGCTACGTAGTCTGAGTCTTAATAAAAAAGATATACGATTCATGAAGGAAAATGAGTTAAGCGTGGGGAAAGAATTTTCACTGTATCGTTTAAAATTACCTCGTATGAAGCTTCGGAAATTGTAACTAAACTTTGGCTAGAAATCTCCTTAAATGTCCCATGAAATGTAAATGTATCGGTTAACGGTAATAAAGCATCTAGAACGAGGCTTTGCAGATTGTTCAAATACGTGATGCCATTAAAATGAACATTCACATATTTGCTTTCAATTGCTAAAAATAACTATAAATAGCTCTTCTTGTACTTTCAGCAGCAAGTTACCTAATCTAGTATATGACACTATCTGATAGATATGTGCAGTTCTACATTTTTTCCTTTATCATAATTATATTGTTTCTTCTTCCGGAGGTTTTGGAAGACCATTGGATCTCTCTGATACGATAATTATATTTATATTTTTTTGTTTATCTTAAAACAATGCATTTTGGCCTAGTCATATCACATTGAACCTTCCCCCCTCTCATAGAAAAGAACATGGTATCTTTGATACAATTTAAAAAAAAATGCGTTCATCTCTTTCACTTCAATGTATTGTGAGATAATGATACCTGTATGCATGTTTGCTTAAGTTGATCAAAATTGTGTCGTCTGCATGCAAATATAGACACCGACTTTATGTCAAGATAAAACCGATACTTGAATTTGAACGTTTGCGGAATATGCATTACGATATATGATTGCATTTTGTTCAGGAAATAAGACAAAATAAGATAGCCATGATAGAATTTGTTCTTTTCGGATTATTTGCCGCATTACTAATAGCGTTCGTAATGAGGAGAAAAGATGTTCGGGAGGGAACACAAATTCCCGGACCAAAAGGATTGCCTATTGTAGGAAATATCACCGAGGTTAATACAGAAAATATGCATGTTAAGTGCTTCGAATATGCTGGCAAGTTTGGCGACATTTTCCAAGTGAAATTACTGAATCAGAGACTTATCGTCTTAAATTCGGAGTCATTAACCCGACTGGCCGGCTCAACAGATCGTTACAAACAATTTATGAATGACAAACCAGGAAGTTTCTACGGAGACATGTTTTTCTATGACTCTCAATGTACTGTGTTATGTAAACATGGGTTTAGTGCCGAGCACAATGGTTACAGAAAAGGATTTACAAAGGCTACAAAAGACATTATCATTGGATGCGTATCTCTTATAGCAAAGATTGAGTCCGCTAAAAACCTAGATTTTGAGATAGTTTCTGAGATAAAGATGTCACTGGCAGACACATTGTCATCCTTGGTTAGTATTTGAATGTTACCTTATATCAGTCAGTATTAGTCGTTTTCTTAATCACACGAGAACACTTGTAAGTTTTTCAGAAACAACATTTCAATTATGATTCGAAATACCCTTATGTCTTTATTATCTTTGTTACAAATAAAGAGGATATATACTCTTTGCAATATATGAGCCGCGTCATGACAAAACCAACATACATGTAATGGGTTTGCGACCAGCATGGATCCAGACCAGCCTGCGCATCCGCGCAGTCTGATCAAGATCCATGCTGTTCGCTTACAAACCCTATTACAGGTAGAGAAACTGATAGCGAACAGCATGGATCCTGATCAGACTGTGCGGATGCGCAGGCTGGTCTGGATCCATGCTGGTCGCAAACGCACTATGTTGGTTTTGTTATGACGTGGCTCATATGTATTCACAACACAGATATTTAATGAACACTCGGAGGGAAATATTAGGTGTATATTGATAAAACTATGATTTATTTAATCAGATGAGGATTAGGAATACCGTTTGATATTTGATGTCGGTTTGTAAAATACTCGGTATAAAAAAAATGAAATGGACCAGTAACTTTACGCAATTGCGTTTAACTTGTTTACTTATTTATTTTTGCAGCATACATTTTAAATTGAAACTTTAAGCTACAGTCTCAATTACATCCCGGCAGAGCCACGGCAGAGCCCCGGTAGACGTCCGGGGTGAACCGGGAACGACCGGGGAAGCACCGGCATGAACCGTAGCTTCACCTGGGCTCTGCCTGGATAATCCGGAGCGCATCCTGGGTGGTTGGTTGGGAACTACCGTAGTGCTGCCGGGGTAAGCGTGACCGCAACAATAATTTCACCCCGGATCGTCCCGGATCATCTCGGTAAGTTACCGGGATGGTCCTGGGCTCTGCCGGGAGTAAGTGAGACCGCAGCTTTATATGCACTCTGTGTATTCTCATTATTTTGCTCTAAGTTTGACGGAAAATTCCGAACAATGTTCGATTAACATAAGTGAAAAAATGTTATATCATCAAATAACTGAAGGACGCGAAATACGTGTAAACATATATCCATATCTATATTTCAGTTGATTGGCAAGCAGTTTAAGGGAGATGATCCAAACAGAAAGTTGATAGGGGAGTTTTCCGATATTACGGATTTCTTTTTGCAACCAAGTGTAAACGATGCTTTACAAATGTTTCCGTTCTTGCGTCACCTTCCGGGATCGTATGGAAAGCAATATAAGCGTGCTACGAAAGCAATCGAAGCAATAATTGATGTTTATTTCCATCAACAAAAGGTACGGGGAATTTTTGATGTCGCTTTTCTTGTCGCTGACCTTTACCATGTAACGCAATATAAGTTACCCGTGGATATGTTTTTAGAAAAAAATATTTCAAGATTGTTTAACTTATCGTTGATTAATGTGCACATAATAATTATGAACTGTTACTAGAAAGTTCAAAAGAACTGTCAAATGTTACCTTAATTTACGCTCCTTTTTTGTTTTCAAATATACATATTTATATATATATATAGGAAAGTTATGATCCTGAAAAGGTGAGAGGTACAGTCGACCATACATTAAAAGATCAACTAAAGGAGATAGAAATGGGCAAGGAACCGTTCTTTACAGACGAAAGAATTATCTCCCAGATACTGGAAATAATGAGCACTGGTAGGTTATGTAAAATGAAACATTGTTTTATAAACAAATTGCGCATGTATGCGACGCTCTCTCAACAAACTTTAAAAAGGACAGCCTATTCATGTATTTTCTGTTTTCTTTATTTGTTTAAATACGCATGCGTAAAAAATGGTCGAATAAATTTGCATCCTTTTCAAAAAGATCTTGTAAACACATTTTCTTTATTTACAAATATCCTTTTATGCAATATGTCAGTGATATTTGCGATTTTTCAAGCACTTCTTTAACAATGACATCAATCGTAATAAAGCCTTATTTTCAGAGGTTTGAATAAATTAGAAAAAAAACAACATTATATAGAAAACTTGTCATTATAAATGAAAGTTAAATATATCCGAAATTGAAGACTGATATTTATCTATGCACATCACGTTCAAACATACTTGTATTAGTAGTTTATTTTTTTTATTTTAGGTGGCCTTGTTTTATTAATTCATTTTGTACTCGGATGATTTAGAAATATATATCGTAATAAGAGATGGAAGATGCTGGTAAACATTCAGTACGTTATTAATGATTTAGTTTGCTATAAAAACTTTTGATTTTAGGAACTTACTAGTATTTGCTATATGCTAACAAGGAACGACCCAGTTGGCCACAGGAATGCTTTTATTTCATTTCTCTAAAGATTTTTAATGTTGTTGATTTGCTGTTATAGTTTCCAGAAAAGTTACGCACTGGCCAGTTGCCTGAACCATATTTTGCTTTAGTTGATTTTTGTGGCAGTTAGTACAGTTTTAGTGATTTAGTATTTTGTATGGAAGTCACAATAGCGCTTTGCTTACAATTTGCTACTTTTATTACAAATAATTTCACATTCAGCATACTACTGGCTTCATGAGGTGTACATCTTACATGATCTAGAACCATTATCTTACCTTTATAAAACCCCATAAGTGCCCCTCTAAAGGATAAAAAATAGTTTCTTTATAAGGCATAGTGTGTCTTATAAGGAACAACTTTTGAATGTCCCTATGAGTTCGGTATAACCAGACTTTTGCGGTGAAATATTAACCTTATTTATTATAGGCCGATACAATCAGATGAATGATTTCGAAATATCGTTATCCGTCCACTCGTCCGTTCATTTTAAATGCTTTCACTTACGAACCCTAAGGTTGTTATCTTTATCACAACATACTAAAATGAATGACAAATGACATAACACAATATCATAATCATATTTTATGCCATTATATTTCAAAAGTGTTTCCTTTACTGTAAGCACGTTTTGCTAGACATTGCTCAGCTTTAATAATAAGTAAAGATGCCAACTTTATTTTCACTCACATTCTGAGTAGCATCATACAAAGAAGGTTTTAATCAAGTGATTTGATTCATAGATATACAGCTATGGAAGTTGGGGGTATCAATTGAACGAATTTGCATATTTCCTGTAACACGTCTGTCTATTAATTGCCATTGCATAAAGGACTAAAACAATTTTACGTAGATTATTAGCAAGGAGGAGCATATGTAAATATATAAACCTTTTACATAGGTATGTTGACAACGTGGGCTTTCTTATCGAATGCTTTGCTATGTCTGTTGAACCATCCGGAATGCCAAGAGAGGATGTTTCTTGAGCTGGCCAAGGTTATAGGTCGCGCAAGGGAATTGGACGTGAAGGACGTGTCAGATTGTCCGTATGTTGAAGCTGTAGAGCTTGAAGTGCATCGATATGTACCTGTAGTAAACTTCCTCGATGCTAAACATTGCAACGCAGACTTGGTGTTTGAAGGGTATGACATACCGAAAGGCAGTATGGTAAGTAAGAAAGCTATGAAGATAAACGAATACATGAATCATTTGTATGTCCTCTATCCCATTAAACCCTGATTTAACCAATAACTCTTCTTATCCTCCTCCTAACAAATATCCTTAAATCACGTGCTAATAAGATAATCAAAGAAATTTGTATGATTGATGTTTGCGGCTATTCTGCTCTTTATTCAAGTGTACATTCCGCGTTCGGCGTGATGATTACTTATTGCAATAGTTTAAAAATAGTCCAATAGTGAATATTGCAAAGATGATGCTAGTAAAGTTGCACAGATTTTGTGACTATCAAGAACAGATCCAAGCGAATTAATTCCAAAGTTTCTGTCCCGTATTATGTGCCTATTTATCTTTTGGATTTTCTCTTTAAAACCTCAGAATAGACCTATTAACACGCGATATGTGCGTTTGCCGTTTATTTTAATTTTTGGACACAAAATGTCATAAACAATAGTCCGACAAAATAACAATAGAATGTTTTTTTTTGTACATGATATTTGTCATAACTTTGATTATTGTTCTTGCAATATATAAACAGCTATACTTATTAATATTTACATTATGCTAGGTTCATGCAAATGTATGGTATATCCACCATAATGAAAAGATATGGGGCGACCCCTGGAACTTCCGACCAGAAAGATGGCTTGGTGAACAAGGAAATCTTGTGCCTAAAGATCATACCTTCAGAAAAAAGTACGTGTATACTAAACTTTCAAACATCATGTTACATAGTTTGAAGTTTCAGAAAAAAATGTAATGTGTTTAATGCTGACAGGAACAAAATAAATTAAGAGTGCACAGAAAACAAGTTAAAGTGACAAAGCTATCAAGTTGAGCTGAATTAGCTTTTTTATTTCAATAGATTGACTATTACAATAATTGATAATGACAATGTGTAGAAAAAAGCAATTAAAACTACCTAAATATATAAAAGACTGCCTGACTCTTATTATCAAATGGGCGTGCGTTACCGATTGATTCCGAAGATTATTTATTGAAAATTACTTGGCTTATGTGTTTTATTTATTATTTTTGCGTATCAAAATATATAATTGAAAACAATTATGGCAAAATGTAAAGTTATCTACCTGAACACTAACAATTAGATGGGCATAATATATCACTTAAAAATGTTTACACGTTATACATAATATCTTATATATTTCAATATGTAATACTGATAGAGAAATGTACAGATATAAATTATACAAATTTTAAAACATTTCAATATAAAGGGTTACTTCTCTCACTTCGTTCACACATTTGTATTCATATGAATGCACACGCACGTACATTCGCAAAAACATGCACACACATTATAAATACAACGTGGTGTTCAAATGGTATGTGGGTTTTCATTGGACACTATAAATAAAGTAAATAAAGTTAACACTCTCTGATGGTTGCATTTCCTGCTACAGCTACCGACAAATTCTTTAGGTCGAGCCTTTAAAAACCGAGGTTTCTTGTACTTGAAACCTGTTGAGGAAACAGCTGTCGAAGATAGTATCCGATGCACATTATCCTCTAAAGATAATGATACTTGATGGTTAATAATTATGATGTTCTTTATATGATGGTAAATATAAATAAATGTATTTTACAAAATTATATATGGGCTGTATGCTGTTTTAAAAAAAGATAGTACAGCTAAAATTGTTTTACATTCCAGCTGGTTCCCGTTCGGTTACGGTCGACGACAGTGTGTAGGGGAACAGTTCGCACGGTCCACGTCGTTTTTGTACCTGGCGTCGATATTTAGACGTTGGAAATTGGTGTCCTCTCCCGGTCAGTCAGTATCATGTGATCCGAGAGACAAACACAATTATGATTCTTTAGCTACAATACGACCGAAACCTTTCTTCGCTCGTTTTGAGGAAAGATACTGACTCGAAGTTATTGACATTTCAAATGATTTATAGAAAAAAGAAACATATCTTAGAAATGTACCCTTATAGAAAATTGTTATGTTCTTTAGACTGCAATGTGCATATAAGTTTTGAGAAAAAAAATCCGAAGGGATGACAATTCCCTTATTTGAAAAGAAATATAGAATATATAAATCATGTGCGATAATCCGGACAATTTCTGTGAGGCCACAACAAATGAAACATTAATTGGGGACCCCACATCGACAAAATCGATTTCACTGGTTCTTTATATTTCAACAAAAACCTTTAGATTACAAATACAAAATGACATTAAAGATAAAAAGTATGAACTAAATTTATATATCTTAAATTTATATATTTACAGAAGATTTTTCGGTTAAGTTTAACATAAATTAATATGATGTGTCTTTATGCAACAATTTTTTTTAAAATAACCATTTTTGCAAAAGTCGATGAAAGAGAACTCACGATTATTAAAATATAATCATAGTTATTATGAATGATATTTGTTTTCACAGAAATTTATTGAATACCACTGAATGCATTTGCTATTTTTTATCATAAATATATAATTATGTAGTTAAAACGGCAAACAACTTTTACATTGTCTCCTCTTGTCATTCTTTACTTGTTCTTTTGTCAATTCTGCTAAATTGTTAAACCTTCTGCTAAATTGCTGAATTGTTAAACCTTCTGCTAAATTGCTCAATTGTTAAACCTTCTGCTAAATTGCTAAATTGTTAAACCTACTGCTAAATTGCTAAATTGTTAAACCTGCTGCTAAATTTTTAATCCAATATAGCCTAAGAGCATGTATAATGTTCAGATTCGATGTACATTTACAAATACATGTATTTTATAATATCCTTTCGTCAAATATTCTTTTTATTAACATATACAGGGTAAAACAATTTCTGACAACAGTAACATGCATTAAAAGTAGATTGGTCTAAAATGGCACATTTTCCATAAACATTTCAAATTTTGATAAAAAAAACCCAATAAAAATGTATCATTCGGATATTTTAATAAAATCATACTTTTTATTAGCATTAATGCAACGAAAATTAATATTTTGTTCAACAAATTTATAGATAAGTAATATTGGATAATGTATCTCATACTTATTAACAATATCCATATATTTTGTGATTTATTGTTACGTATGATACTAAATACTATTGATATACTTATTTATGCTATTACAAAGCTTTTATTATAGATCAATTCACTTTTTAATATGATTATATAATCCACCTATCTGGTATTGGACATGATTTATAATAGAACAAAATGCACAAGACGTTGAAAATGTAACGTTTTTAAACTGTTTTCTATTCAAAATATGTTTAACCACGGATCTTAATTATCTATAATATATATCCGTGGTTTAACTGACTATTAAAATAATGTCTTATTTATCTTCCGTTGATCATCATTTTATTTTATGGCTTTAATCTGACCAATGTAATTAATATTTATTTTGTTTACCTCCATTTACGAACTTTGACGTATATTCGTGTTTCCACGAGTTAACTATAGCTATAGTTAACACTATTAAAAATGTCATCTACTCAAAAGAAACAATATAGCAATTTATACAACATTTGTTAACCAATATGAACTTAGTTAGGATATATATAGATATACTGTTGCCCGTTGTAATATCTGTCGGGGGAATGTTCCTTCAGGCAATGTAATAGATTAACTACTTAGCCTTAATCAGGGGGTTTATTTTTATGTAATCACGTGGAAAGAACTGCATGACATTGTATAATAGTTTATGACTCTTTGAAAAAAGTTAATACTTAACGTAAGTATCCGAATCGTTTGATTGTGATAGGTCTAATGAAATAACAGTATATAGTATTTGCTTAAACGTTTACAAATACCTTTAGTCATGTTTAAAGGGTATTTTATCTGTACAGGCAAACCGATAAGTGATCGATTTCTTACTGCTATTTATAGTCACAGCTATATAATCTGTACACAAATTAGAACAACGCCGAACTTAATATATTTAGAACTCCAATAAAAGACACACTTTAAAGCGACATTGATATATTGGTTTATACTGTGTTAAAACGTGATGATTTAAAGCATTGAGTAATTTAATTAGTACATGTGATGAGGTCTTAATATTCTTATACTAAGTATCGGATTATCACCTGCCACAAATGCCACCTAAACAACCCGCGAAGCCGACAACTGGTTTAAGACCAAAAAGTACAAAGACAACAGAAAATGGGTAAGTATAAGTAGATCTCTTGTTGTGGAATGTAAGCACACTGTGATTTTCATTTGTAAACATGAATTTAACATATTGTGTATTTTATCTACATAAAGCAAGACAATTTGTATCATATTGAGTGTTATCAATCATCATGAAAGCAATATTCATTATATTTATTTGCTAGGTATATATAATGTATACTTACACTTAAGTAAATGTTTAACACCTTTAAAGTAATTTACCGCTTTAACTATCTCTGTTAGAAAACAATTAATGAGCTATGACTTCATACAAGGCAAACGTACTTACCTGCATCTGAATCAAAGAAATATTTTTAAGTCATGACTTATACAAACATACCACAGGGCCTCGATGAGTATAGAAATGAAAACACTATTTCTTGTTGTAGAAAAGACGGAACGAAAACACCTAAAGAATATGATGCTGAGGAAAAACCTTGATATGTTAGCTTCCTTATTACTTTATTACTTTTGCCATCAAATATGAACTTGTTGGAATAAACAAATATGAACTTGTTGGAATAAAAATTTTAGTTATTGTTGTAGAAAAGACGGGACGAAAACACCTAAAGAAGAAGGGGATACCCGAGAGCAGATCTTAGAAAGAGAGAATATGATGCTTAGGAAAAACCTTGATATGTCAGTATCCTTATTAATTTTACATATGTTGAAGTAAAGTAATCATTCTCAGAAACAGAAATACACAACGCAAATCCATGAATCAGTTTTACAATTAATTCATTTACTTTTTTAAAACTGGCAGTAGTATTTTGTACTATTTGGTTTGTAACGAATATAGTACGGCCGTATTATGTACATATCTAAAGAGCTTCAGAAGCTACTTATGTCAAACTTTTTCTGCCTCCTTACAGGTTTTAATTATTTTACTGTGGTGCATCGTCATAATGAATACAAAAAATATGCTATAATAGCTTTTATTATAAGTATTAAAACATATTAACCTAATGCATGCATTAAAGAGTTAATATAATACAAATAAGAACACAATTCTATGTTGAATTATTTTGTTTATCTTTCAGGCCTGAAATAATGAAAGAATTTCACAAGACCGTACCCGAAAATCACATGCAAGCTATGTTTTTCGAAACCCTTCATGAGTAAGTTATTGTGATCTTAATATAGATAGACAATCTTTTAAAACACATTTATATATAACACGCTTTCTGTTTTTATAGAAACCTTATCAGACGGATTAACGTGCAATCATATGCGGGAGATAAAACGATCATGAGAATGAAATAATGGTGATTTAGTTGTAGCAATTTGTGTGAGATATCATGACACATCTTCCCCCTCCGTGAAGTCAACCTAATCATGTTCATAATATGCCGAACTTTATTTTTTATTTAAAAGAATTATAATCTATTTCATAAGATAAGGAAATACATGTCTTAATTGTAACATGCTTAACTCTAGTTTTAGGGCAACATATTATATAAGATGTAGTCATTTAATGATACAAATTTTAATCATTTTAAAAAGAAGAAAATACATATGGATATAATTTATATTTCAACAGTTTAGAGCTCAAAATTCAGAAGTACGAATCAAGCACAGGACTGACAACAAGGTATTATTTTCATGTTGTAATCAGCATATTTTAAAGATATAGAAATCGTATGCCTTTGTATTAACCGTAGCACATTTTGTTTGTTCAGAACATGTTTTGAATGTCATGAGAGTAAGACGTACTTTAACATTTTACTAATTGATGATATAGATTATGGACCATCTCATTATCACTTAATAGTGGATTCGTCTACGATCGCTACATTTTCCAAAAGTATTTCAAATGTTAATAAAAACAATAGAAATGTATCGTTTCGGTTTTCTTATAAATAAAGTTCCTAGTATTTTAGTATAAATTTTTTATGGTGAATTTTGTTCTAAGAACAATTAATTATCTGCTTTAAAAATGTAATATCGGATCATGTATCACACATTTAACAACAACATACAAATATAATTCTTTCGTGGCTTGTTGTTATCTATGCTATCTAATTCTATCAACATAATTATTTATTGTTAGTCCTTCCACTTTAAACCAATCCACTATTGTAGCATATTATAGTCCCAGTATCGACATGTTTTAAATGGTGACGAGATATTTTTAAACAGTACATCTGTATAAATATATTTTTTTAAAATCAAATCTAAATTCTTTAGATTTATTTAAAACTCTGTTTGATAGTAAGTTTGCATAAGATTGCAGAATTGTCTTTATATTTTCAGAGGAAGTCTGTCTGATCTCCAAATTGACCTTGACAGAGAAAGAGCAAATTCGAAAACGCTAGATAAACAAGTCAAAGAGAAAAATAGGATGATGTATGGTTTTATTTATTTCTGCCCATTGTTTTCTCGTTTAGGGCACACACATTTTTTTACTTGGGGACCATATGCAGCTTTTCAACTTACGTGTCACATTGACGGTTCCATGATAACTGCCATATGAACACATCTACGGATGTTTCAAAATTCAAAATTGTACCAGTTCATTTTAAATGTTGAATTTTGCTTAAGCCGGTGCTAGGGGGCGTGGACGGTAGTTTGCACTTGACAATAACGTCCATGAACAGGCTCAATCAAACCGAGCCTGCACCATTTTCAATTTTGCCATGTTGGGCTTTCTTTAGGGATTCTTATTTTCTCTATTTTTGGTTCTATATTTACCCTGTAAATTGTAAACAAAACCTGTGATTGAGCACTGATACTGGATAAAAAAGAGTTAAAATAATGTATGAAAGATGGTTCATGCTTAACATGGGCCATTAAGAAAATCTTATGTAGCCTCATACTATACTTCGATAAATACTGATGTGTTCCTGGTTTGAAAGAATCTATTTATTAAGTCTAATTTGTTATACATATCAACTTGGTGCTCAACGAAATAAAAAATAAATAGTACATACTTTATAACATACTTAGATTAGAAATAAGCTTTTACAGTTCAGTTAAACGTTATGCTTTTATGTCTATATGTTTGCAATTTCAGAGATGATTACAGAAAATCTCTTAATGAGAAAGATAAGGAACTAAAAGCATATGGAACAGAGCTAGAGTTGCAAAGGTCACATAACAGGTAATAGATAAATACATATCCAATTCTATAATGACTTGAAAATATTCTAACATGGAAATATCCTTACTAAACTACACTAAGATAAGACACACGTAATTGTGCTAACAATTTTAGTTAGCCAGCGTCTAAAATGGGCGTCAATCATAATTATAATTTATAAACATAATTCAACAGGTATTAGACGTGTTTTGTCAATTCAATTGATGTATTTAGTTTTATATGCATCCTTGCTGATAAACAATTCTAATAGCTTATCCTTTAATTAATATAACGGTAAAGACCCTTCTTGACGTAAAGATTTCATCATCTATTCTATGAGTGTAAAATCTGGTTAGTTTTCTGTACTATCTCGCTTTTTGTATGCTTTTAGACATTCATCTGAAGCCATAGATAAACTTCAGAAACTCCAGTTAGAATATGATGACATTAGAAATAACATGTAAGTACTTTGATAAAGACAGATTAATGTTCTTTTTAAAATAAAAAAAACCCCAAACTTATAAAGGTTTTCAAGTATTTTTAACATCAATCCCAAGGAGCGGTTTGGAGTCAGCCGTTTCTGTATATTTACGCCTTTTCGGCGGATAATTGCAGTAGATTTGCATGTGCGGCAAACAGGGGGAAATAAGGTAGAGCATTCTGTAGCGCGAGATATAACAATCTAAATGTCATCGTTGAACGGGGCTATTTTTAAGATTTTGCTTGTGTCAATATCAAAAGAAGTGGATATCTATATCATTAATGACTGGTGCTTGATCAATTTAAGAAATATTAAATGCACGAGATTACGAAATCGATGTTTGTACCATTTTCCTTGTCCTTAAATCAGCCCTTTTTCTTTTCATTATAAATCGTACGATCAGAACAATATGCAATGATATAAATTTTCATTTCAAAATTTTCCCTACCCTTTATATTAATACAACTTATGAACTTTAAGATATGTTTACATGAATTAATCATGAAGTAATTATGTTTTTGTTTTGTTTTTTAACTAGGATAGGAAAGGAGTCAACCATCATCTCCTTATCAAAAGAAGTGGAAAATTTAAAGAACGAACTTGCCAAAGCAGAAAAGTAAGTCGGGTAGGATTCAGTATACTAACTAACCATTATTCTATAAGGGTAGCCATTTTACAAGAACATTGGAAGGTGTAAAACTTATAAATATAGATTTTATGGAGTATCTAGTACACGATGTAAAATAACATGAAATAGAAACACGTTTCTTTTGTAAAACATTAAGCTGAACATTTAAATCACCGCATGAAATAAAATATAAACAAGGTATTCTTAAGTGCAACTTAAGATTTAATGGTGATGCCATTTTTGGTGTTCCTCTTTTTCTAAATACATGATGAAATTGGATATCACTTAATATCAAATTCACAAAAATGACAGGACTCACAATTGTCAATGTTTATAATTATGCTGAAAATATTGGGGTAATTCTTTCACAGTTTAACAGAACCATTTAAAGCCCACAGTATAAATGGTTATAGTTCTAGAACTAAAATTGCTTGTTCAAAAATTATCTTGAATCAAACAGGACCGTTTATCAAACCATTCTAGTTCTTTACCTACCTGTGAGTATTCTTATACTTGCAGAATAAATTCGACGTTAAAAGAAGATGCTGCAAAAATAGTAACCTTGCGGGCAGAACTGTCAGTATCTTATATACACCAATTACAAAAATTTTCCTGAGAGAGAACTATGTCATGAACACAGTTTAGATAAAGTTCTTTTCATATTAAACATCTGTTACAAAATTATTTTTAGTTTCTTAAAATGTTCTTTACCAACGAAGATGTTGCAAAAGACAAGTTCGATTTATTGCTTGCTTTGATCAAATGGGTCATTTTTCTTTGCAACATAATTCATGTATATTTTGAATTAAAATATTCATAAGGCCGGTAGAATACGGAAGTGAAAAAATCTGATGTCTATTGGATTTCTTCGTTGGCATCCATGAAGAGCCTCTAAATTTATCATACTTTAGGCTTGTTTTATGTTTCCCTTCAGAAATGGTTATGCTAAGGAACATCAGGAACGTATTACAGAAATAAAGGAACTGACAAGAAAGCTTAAACAAAGAGATATGATGTTTAAAGAAAACGAGGCACTTTTGCATCAACAACAGTAAATATCGTGTCAAATTTCCTAATTCAAAACTTTAGCTGTCGTATACTAAAACATATATTAAATAACAATAAATATATACTACTGAGTAAAATTTTGAGCAAATTCACTGCTTTAAACTTGATTCTATCAATTATTTAATTCATTGAAATAAGTTCTTGAAGAATTAAGAGGCTACTTAATAAGATTTATGACGTTAACTTGTAAATAAAAAAATAAGCAGCTGAGTTGAGTTTATTTAAACAACAGACCTTATCAAACTGAAATTAAATATTTTTGCGAAAAACTAAGTAACAGTTAATGTATAAAAACATCCAAGCAAATACAACAGAAACAAATGTGTGGCATTCGTGTACGTGAACATACGTATCGTAACTGCCAAAGTTTACATTTTTAATTTAATTTCAAAATACCTGTGTTTTTGAATTCCTATCGTTTCACAGAAAAACCCTCGAAGAAAGAAACAATGTAATAGAAAGATTAAATGCAGAAAACACTCACAATCCAGCAGAAAATGAGGAAAAGGATAAGGAGCTATCCGACCTACGGTTTGTTCAATTTTTATAGAGCGTACATGCCATGACTATTAAGGTTTTGATGTGACAATTAAGTCACGATGGCAAAATAAACACTTTACTAATGTCCCTAAAACACTGATTATGTAAATTTAAAACTTTACTGTGTTGGAGATTAAATACTTCTTAAAGCGGTGCTAGTGGGCTTGAAAGATGTGGAACCTTTTTATTATCTCTAATGAACATACCCAATCAAACCGAATTTTGTTTACTTTTCACAAAATTTGTTTTTATTGTTCTAGAGGGATGTACTATTTTATTAGCTAAAAGGTGTATTTTTATCCAAGAATATTGCATTTACAGGAATACCCTTGACGAACAAACAGAGCTTTTTCAATCTTTAAAGGAAGACAAACAGAAATTATTACACGAGAAAACTGAAATGGAAATCGAGCTGTCAAAGCTGAAGTATGTATCAATTTTGGTATCACTATTTTATTTAGTCAAAATGTCAACACATTTAATAAAGCTGACTGGTTAGCGGTGATTTGAAATACATTTTTCTTGTAACCTTTTCACCTTTCCTCCTAAAGAAGCATCTTATTTTCAGTGCACTTTTGAACCAAAAAGAAAATACTATAGCAGAACTCGAATCAAGACTGAATTCACCAACAGAGAACAGGTATTGTGCTCTTTTATATGAATGTTTTTCTTTAAAATTAGAGGTACACAACAGCTTTTATATAATACTGATGATAAACATGATCTTTATTGTGAACCTGTATTTTTCTATGAATATGCAAATTTCTTTTGTGACTTTATTTGAAGAATAGAGCATATATGATAAACTAAATCGCTTATCTGTATTTCCTAAAAAGCTAATTTTTGGTTTCTTGAATCATTTTTGAAATGAATTGTATCCAATTTATTTATTGTTTTAAAAATGTAAGTTTTATCATAGATATATCAAACTTTTGAATTATTTGATAACATAAAATCGAAGCTGGCTTTTATGTATAGGTCTGAAGTGGAATGTTCTGTTATCGATCAAACAGATGAACTCAACAGATTGACGAATGAATTAAAGGAAGCCAAAGTGTAATTTGTTTTACTCGATTGTAGTTTTAGTAAAGGCAAATAGCCTACCATCATTTATGATCGATAATTTGATAATTTTATAATTATATATAAGTCAGTTGTTATATTAAATACTATTCCGAATTTCTTAAACACCACAAGAAAATGCAGATTTGATTTTTTAGAATAGCTTAATGTAAAGCCTGTTATGACACTGGTTTAAGTAGCTAGTAAAATATTTGTCATAAAGAAAGCAGTTCTTTATTATTGCATCTAATCTTATGTTTTTTTTCTATTTCATAGCGTCAATGCCAAAGTCACGAGAGAAAAGGAAAAGCTTGAATTGTAAGTTATGCCGATAATGAAAATTTCAAATGAGATACCTCAGTGTTGAAAAAGATACAGTATTTAATTTATCTGAATGTAACATACAAGTTTTATGCAAATGACTTGAGCTATGGGATACCGGTATTAAGCAAAATGTATTTAAGGTTTGATACAAACGAAAGTAAAACTTTCCAGGTAATTCAGTATTTCTAATTGTGGCCGTATATGCAGTTAACGAGATTTGTCCATTTCGATCCGTACATAGCTTTCCCATAACCAATTAGATAGGATAATTTTTAAACCACTGTGAGTAATCAATATTCGGAATAAACATAAGGTTTTTGCTTATTAACGAAAAGAATATTTTTCGAATACCCGACTGTACGACAATTCCTAGCATTTTTTCATTTTTGGAAATGCTAAAACTTGTTTACAAACTCATTAAATACAGATAACACGTTTTATGTTTCAAAAACATTATGGTTCCCTTTTGAAGCACATGTCACGAGGCGTTTGACAAGCTCGAAAAGACAGAAAAGAGAATAAAACAACAACAAGATGAGCACAATAAAGCGATAAAGAGGAAAGATGAGTACGTAAAGTGAAAATACCTTTATAAATTTTTGTACTGGTTAGACTAGATTCGATATGAATATTTATGCTGCTCTGTAGTCATGTTATTTGAACAACTCATTACTGAAATACTTGAGAAAATTTAGGCTATAATTTTATTCCAATCATTGCTTTTGTCAAATAGAAAACTTTCTAATGCTTAAACAAGTTGCTACATTGTCACGCAAATCTTATCCTTGTCTGGTACATATCCGATCCAAGGTTGGTTAGAGGCATTTATGTCAAATATGGCGTCAGGGTTTAATTCAACAAATAAAACAAAAAAGGATTACGGACTTATTTCAATTTATTTTCTAGTACGAACTTTTATGCTTCTAGATTATCTGTGCAGATTATAAGGCATAAACAGTTATGAAAACAAGCGGTATTCAGTAGCATTCACATATAAGATGAATCTCTTTTTTTCAATCTTTTACATCATAGAATTATCCAGAAACTCCGCGCTGAAAAGTTGATGGTAGATCCAACAGGTGGTGGTAATGCAAATATAGAAACAAAGAGCCTTGTAGAAAAGTACGAAAAAACTGTGAAAGAACTTACAAATGCTAGGAACGAGATTGAGGAACTTAAACAAAGGTAAAGAATACAGAATAACTTGTTCATGCATTGGAGTTTTATTGTGATTGATAATCATTAACGATATTAAAATTGAAGAGATATGAAATCAATGACAAAAATAAGAATTATATTCCTTCAACAGCGTTGATAATTTGGCAGTGTACTCATTTTGATAGAAGGTACATTTTTGTTTATCCCTACTTTTTTAAAATTTTTATCAGTTTTATTATGAAATATATTTTGTGTTTTCAGGCTTCTCAAAATTCCTGGTGGAAGTTTGGTAAACGGCAGTCAAAGTATTTCTGACTTCACAGGAGACAACAGACCGGCCAAACTTTCGGAAAAATTCTCTGAACTTTATGAAAATGAATGGACAGTTGCATATAAAGAAGCTGCAAAAGAATTCAATTCAGATGAGAAAATAATTGGGCATCTTTATAAAACTGTGATAGTACTGGTTTTCCGCATGTTTCCTTTTTTGTTTTGCATAAAAGTAGTAATGGTTAAAAGAACTTTCATATCATAAATTGCATTTTTTACCAATATAATAAAAAAATTGCAAATACATTTACAAAATAAGAAATATCTTGAACACGGGATATTAAAGTTCTTTTGTATAAATAGGCAATAGTTGCATGAAACAAAATATAAAAACTAAACAATCTAGCTTGAACAGTTTCACAAAAGATATCTATTTACATGTATAAAGTATTTAACACGAATCTAAAAAGATTCTCCTAAAATAAACCTTGTAAATATTCTATTCAATGACTTGTAACGTAATCTATCTACAAGTACATACGTGTCCGTATTTCCATTCAAGTTTTATGTTTAGTTTAACACAATAAGGCATGTGTGCTACTTCGCTCTATGAAAGGTCAAGAGGTGTTCGAAGAATTTCAAATTCGTCAATGTTGCATTTTTGTTTCAGGACATTTTCGATTTTTGTAAGACTATCGCAGAGGAACATGAAAAGAGTATTCAAGCATGTGCATTAACTGTCCCGTATGCTGCTAGAGGAAGACTTAAAACAGATAAGGTAAAACTTATTTTCCTTTTTAAGTATTTTTCTTAGTTTTTAAAGGGGTTTGTTTATCCTGTAGTGAACTATGAAATATATGTTAATATTACAATATTTAGCAGAATGTTCATAAGTACTTGCTGGCGGGTTTTGCAAATAAAAAGTGAGCGTTAGATATTCCCAACTTTTTAAAAACCGATCGAATTATATAGAATTCGCAATTGAACATAATAAACTGACTTTTAAATTCTGTAATGATATGCTAGTATTAAGTATAATTATACAAATATGAATGATTAACAAATTGATTCAATCAAATGAAACCATCAATGATAATGAACTTTACTGAGTTTAGAGAGCTATAGAGTTCCCTCTTTATTCTAATAGTTGTTCTCTTTAAACTAAATTCTCTGAATTAGTTATTCTATGGAAGATGTGCTGGAAGGGATACGCGTACTGTTTTCGTAGTCTTCATATCAAAGAAATTTTTTTCTTAAAGTGTGTGGTATTTATTAAAACCTGTATGTTCATCTTTACAGATTGGTTTAAGCAACCTTCGCCAGTTGAAGGAGTTAAGAAAACTTGTTGCGCCACATCTTGTAGAAGGTGTATTCCAGGCAAGAATTAATTTTTACTCTTATCGTGTTGATTTGCAAATCAAATTAATGATAGTCAGGTGCCATTATTGAATATCTAATACTCATAATGTATTGACTTTAAAACACTTTAAATGCACATAGATGTTTTTTTTTCATTTCACTTATGACCAAAACACTAAATATGTCAAGAAAGCCATTGTCGAATTTTGCATGTGGCAGTTAAGATATCAATCTTATTTTGCTTGTACAAGTATACTTACTACACGATTGTAATTGACACAACACCATGTTGTTGTATAACTCTATAATTCCAACACCTTTTTGGAAATAAACACCAAAAATGGATTCATGTACATGAACAAGGTTTTGTACTATTCTTAGGAGTCTTGAAACAGCGTATTACAATTCATTGTTGCACATAAAATTATGCTAAGAGAATGTTTTGTACTTTGTTTCAGCATTTTCTCGACACAATGCAAATTAACTTGATGGGAAAGAGGACAACAGAAAAGTTCATGAAGAAATGTGTTGAAGTTTGTTGGTTGATGAACTCCCAGGACCCACCTGTTACTATAGATACAACATATTCAAAAGGTGCGGAATTCGACGGGGATAGATTCAGGTCATACACTAAGTCAGGAAAACTGATAGACTATGTTGTATGGCCACCTGTGATGTTACATAAAGATGGACAATTGTTGTGCAAAGGTGTTGCACAGGCCAGATAATGTTGATAGAAACTTAGAAACTGGGTGCTAAATTTCCAATTGATTTTTTGCATTTTGAATCTTTAGTAACAGGTTGCTCAATACATTGTATCAAACTGTGTAAGATGAATATGTAGACCATATTCAGTTTAATTTGAATACATATTTTTCAGAGAGGAATAATCAAAAGTGTTATACTGTGCGAGTATTTTTGTCTGTTAGTTTAGTACATGTGTTCTTTACAACTTGCATTTTTAATTTCTGTCTCGGCACTTTTACCGTATGTGTCGAGAGGACCAATGCCTAGTGTCATAAACTAAATAAAATACAAAATACATCTATTGTACTACATTTATGAATTTATCATTTCAGTATTAATTGATTCATTCATATGTCATAGACATGGATTGCTTTGTCGACCAAAAGTAATTTAAGAATTTGAAAACAATTGTGCTTTGTGTTCTTCATTGGTATTGTTTGATAAAAGAAAAAAGAAGAGTTGTGTTACTTTTTGAATTCCTATATGATACTTGTCTTGAATTACATGCTGGTTTTTTGACTGGTTAAGGCGTGGCTGTGTATCTCAATTGTTGCACTTACATCTTTATTTCCTTTGTTTTATTTTCATATTGTTTGTATTAACCATTTATCAAATGACTTTTATAGAAAGATAACAAAAAAACTAACTTGCATCTACTTTATTACACCATAAAGTTTATATTTGCCCATAATGAATGGGGACAAGCAAAACATTAGATATTGCTTAGAAATAAGCACCCATCAATGCCGAGTTGAATATTAAGTACGAGATAGTATATTTAGTATCATCGTCGGAATTGTAAAATTTAGAAATATCTCAAGAAATTAGCAAATGAGCTGACAAAATTACTATTTATAAATACATGTATCGATATTTTGTTTACTTGATAAAAATATACATGCTGATGATATGATTAAAAAAGTTGACCACCGACTGTTCCATTTATAGATACATTTATGTCTATATGTAATCTAAATGTAAAAATCTGGAAACAAAGTGATCCCTCGAAAGCACTTATCACAACAAAATAACATGTAAATTGCAGACTCGGTTTGATTGAGTCTGTACATGAGGGATAATGAATAAGTGCTGCATCCCTCACGCCCCCTAGCGCCGGCTTGAGCGGTATTCAAGAGCGGTACTCAATTCTCAAAACTTAATAGTGCTGGCATCAATGATTCCGAAGGACCAGAAAAAGATAACAACACTGAAGTGAAGTACGGGGCAACTTTTTACAGCTGCCACACAACACATGACATCTGTTGTTGGGAAGTATAAAAATCTGGAAACAAAGTGATCCCTCGGAAGCACTAATCACAACATTACATGAAAATTGCATACTCGGTTTGATGGCGTCTGTACATGAGGGACAATGAATAAGTGCTACATCCCTCACGCCCACTAGCACCGGCTTGAGAGGGTTCACAATTTTAAACATTAAACAGTTGCTGGGATCAAGGATCCCGAAGGACCAGAAAAATATAACAACAGTGCACTTTTGACAGACAATCATTATTTTAATATTTTAAAATGAATAAGCCAACAGTTGCAGAAGACATTCTGTCAGATGAATATTAAACACTCAGACATATTAAATGACATAAGGGACACATTAATTGATAATATGGAACATTTTTACGAAGAAAGCAATTTAAACATTGATAACATAGATAATCCATTTATAAACACATGTATGTCTAAATGTTATATAAATGCAATTACACTTTTGACAGGCAATTAGTATCCTAATAGCTATGAAATACATCATTTTTTGTTAAATAGTTTGTGTAATTGCTTATTTAAAAAAAATAAAACGTGAAAAAGATAATGATTTTATACTAAGTATAGGTTAAAGTTTATGAATATGTATTTACAAAATTAAATTGGTCAGACCAATTTAAATACGTAAATATGTACTAATAAATTTTTACCAGCTTAGTGTTTTAAATTATTTGTATAAACAGTCGATTTACTAGACTGATAAACAGTTTGCCGATTTACCAAAGTAAATGTGTTACGTTTCATTTGAAATGCAATCCTATTGGGAAAAAATTAAATTCAAACACTAACTAGTATGAGTCATTTTGTGATTAGATTCAATAGAAAAGACATGCTTTCCAATATTAGCAAACTCAATATTTTGATACAATATAGATATTTTTACGATATACATATCCCGGAAAAAACTATTCGCTTAAGAAAAACAAAGGAGACGATCCATCGGAAGAAAATAACCAATTATGAAAGTATAAATATAAATGAACATAATACATTGTAATAACAAATGCTTTTAAACTTTCCGCTAAAAGTACAAAAACACATATATACTTATACTACAAATCTCGTTTCATCATGATACAAAATATCAACAGTAGTTTGAGGATTTGTTTTTACAACAATGCGATTTGCTGATCTCTCTTCAATGATAATACTTAGGAACAATGCATTAAATTAGTTGTTTTGTTTACTTAAATGTTTACTCATCTACCATATGATTAAGTTTAAGTATTTCAAACTATTTCAAGATCGTTATGTACTTACAAAAGAGTCTATAATAAATCAATATTATTACTTAAATCTTTTTCGTTTAACATGTAAAAAAATAAAAGGACATTGAAAGTGTAAATCCAACTTAAATGGTTCAACGAATAACGAATAACTTTGTATTGTATAGCAGTTATTTCCCCTGTTTTATGTTATCGTTTTAACTTGCCTATACTTAAAATAGCATTTTATCTCTAGTAACTATACACCGTCTCGTTTAAATAAAATGTTTAAATCTAGTTTTGTTAACGGTAAAGGTATTATCAATATGCAAGATCGATATTATAAATTAAGGTGATATATAAACGTATATACGTAGAATTTACTATTCGTTTGTCTTCCAGGAAGGAAATTAGAAACAAATATGTGCGATGTTTAAACGAATTTGTTTACAAGTAACTAGGGAAGTAAATTGTGACTTTTCAAAAACAAAACGGAATTCAAACGTTTTTACAAGTAAGTTTGTTAAAGCTTATAATTTGTAACATATGTATCATTGACTATGCGTTTTATACATACAGGTAAGAATTTGTTTCGATTTTTATAAAACTTACTGCCACGAAGGATATCGTTGTCATCAAGTAAAATGTGTGATTTCCTTTATAAACCATAGTCTAAAAGAAATGTGTTAACATCAAACAATCATCGTTACATATATGCTGTTGTTGTAGGTTGATAATATATTTGAAATCTGGTAAAAGTAAGAACAAGTATGAGTAGCAGACAGGCTAAGAAGACCAAAGATCCTAAACCGGATATAAAAAATAAATCCAGGTAAATACTAAAGACATTTGAAATTCAATTCAATTCATTCTTAAGCCATTTGTTTATGTAAAACATTGTCTTGAGGTTTATAAAATGTTCATAGAATAAGTCTAATTTGAATAAGAGAATGCATAAACTATGTTTAAGGGACCTATATTCCATATAGGTTGTCAAAATAATGTGTTCCTTTCTTAATAGTGGTTACCTATACTGTTTAGAGTTTAAGACATATAACATTTTTTCTCTGTGTGTACTCACAAAATATTTATTTTAAAATTTAAAAAATGATAATTATACTACCAATACTAGCATTTTAAATATTATATTTGTGCATAATATATCCTACATAAGGCATGGGCTTTAAACATTAAATAACATTAAAAATTCATCTATTACTAAAATTATTTAGATATTTAAGTATATAGATACTACAGTTTAAACGTCACGATTAACTTAAACGTTGACTACCATCATAGAATAAATAAAACGAAAAGATTTTCGGAAATAGCTACCCATGCCGAATTGGTTACATAATGGAAATTTTCAACACATTGTTAAGTAATTCAATTAAAATATTGTTTGAAAATGGTGCTTTTAAAGCAATTAATTATCAAAACGTTTACCATGATAGGTAAATTTCCATTCAATGAAACTACGATTTTTCTTTACAAGTACACCATCCGGTAAAGGGAAACAATTAAGCCAAAAGGAAATAGAGCAGCTACAAAATGAGAATAAAAAATTGAAGGAAACGATAGTTATGTATCGTAACAACCTAGACCCGTACGTATTATAAATATTCATATATAGTCATGAGAATTGTTGCATTTTACTTTTTACTTTTAAGTCTAAATGCTTATACTATGTGATTTATTATCTATACAATGGCAACAAAAATCGAAAGAAATGGCATTAACAAAATGTTTATAAGTTGTACATCAAATAGCAAAGATTAAAATTATCTAATTATCTATTGGTTGCTTTTTATTGGTGAAGAATTGCAAACATTATAAACATTATAACTATAATGATGCATTAAGGTTCTAGATTGCATTTTTATATGTAACCGAAATCAAAGCAACAGAGTATTCACGTGAATAACAATGCACACGGGTTGAAATAAACTGCAATACTGTGTTTTTTTTTTAAAGTTTAAACGATTCATTTCAAAATTATAATGTTGTATTTCACTTTCATTTTTTGCTTATCAAACACGAGATCAATTATTTAATACCATGCAGTTTTTATATTTTTAGTGTCAAGATTAGAAAAGAGTTAGACTTAGCGGACCAATCAACGATCAACATTCTTACGGATGAAAATTTAAGGTAAATACTGACTCATTTCACATATGATAATGTATGAATTTATAATTGTTTATTATATTCATTAAGTAGTGAAATGTTTATGTTCTTAACGAAAAGACTTTGTCATTGTTTCATATATGTTTTAATCTGTGTCATTCTCCAAAACATTTCAGGTTGATTGAAGAACTTCAAAAATATACATCAAGGGATACTATAGAGAGGTAATTTCACACTTCGACAAAAACAGAATAGAAATAAGTTTTAAATCGAATTTGCGGTTCCATAAATTTAGAGTATTTTGTGTTATATCATATAAATTATGTGCTGAACCTATTTTAAGTTTCTAGGACAGATTACGTATAACGATTTTGACATTCTCCTTATATTAGTTGAAATTATGCATTTGAAAACGAAAACAAAATATTTAAGTTTCGATTTTAAAGTTTTAACAATATGAAATTTAATCTCATTAGAAAAATCTCTTCGATTATTGGCTCCAATATTATACGTATTTAATCAATAATAACAGAATGTTTGTGTTTGTGTGGCTTGGTTGTTAAATCTATAATGCAAGAAATAAATAAGTGGCTATGAATTTCATGTAAGTTACAATTGACATATATCTGTGTGAACGGTTTTCTTTATCTGCACACACAAAGTTACGAAATATAAATATTTTCAGTGTTCTTAATACTGTGTACACGTTGAAAAACACCACCACACCCCCACACACAGATGCAGCGCGCGCAAGCACGCACGCACGCACTCACTCACTTACGCACCCACCAATTCACACACACACCCAAACACGCACGTACGCACGCACGCACGCACGCACACACACACACACACACACACACTCATTTAATATGACAAAAACAACATGTATCGGTATAAAGATTGTTATTCAACTAAGGACTTTATCCATTCCCAAACAAAATATTTGGATAAAGTAAAAGGTACTAATATTACTTTAAATTTACAATTTAAGTCCGTCGGCAGAGAAAGCAACGGATACAAAGAAACAGTCGAACGTCGACAGAGGCGATGAAAATAAAAAAGAGTCTCAGCAAAAACAGACAGAAATGTATGTAAGATGTTATAAATGTATTTTGATATTTAATATAACTAGGGCATTTATAAAAAAACAAAGAAAGTATATCCTTCTTGTATAAAACTATATATATATACATGTATATATATGCTGTCTGTAGTCAACATATTTTTATTTAAATTTTGACCAGAAAAGAAAAGAAACATAAAATAAATACATTGTAAAGAAATTCAAACATTTCAAAACACCTGTATGAAAAATAGAGTGATGAGTGAATGGTGAATGCACAATAACCCTACTTAAATAGCAACATAATATTTTGTTACGGATTTTTTTTCTGTTTACGGACAATATTAATGTGTGTTATATAACAGAGAACTTGTATGAAACTCTTTTGAGAATCTACCATATGATTATGGAAACAACACAATTTTTCCGTTTAAAAAAACTGGATATATATCTGTTTATATATATAGCAATGAGAGAATATATACACACATACCACCACATCGATATGCCAGTCCAATTACGGCACAGCACCTAGCAGAACAGTCATGAAAGCATAGTCTCTGCTCATCCACCATCACAAAAAATGATGGTTTCAGAACAGCTTTATATACAGTCACAAACTGCACTACACATTGAAACAAGCTCAACATTCGCATATATAGAGTTTGTTCTCTGTTATCATGTCTCACAAATCAACGATGACATTTTTATTGTCTTCTTCACTGATTGGGACCAGAGAACTATATATCTATTTCCGAAAGCCAACTGGATCCCGTAAGATCAAGAAGATCCGTAGGATACAATGAATTTAGACAGATAAAGTATATATAAAGGGAGATAATTAAATTCAATAAGTTATACTTTCCCCTGCGTGGGATCACTTAAGATACAAGTGTGCAGATAAATTGTTATAGAAATGAGAGAATATATACACACATACCACCACATCGATATGCCAGTCCAATTACATCACAGCGCCTAGCAGAACAGTCATGAAAGCATAGCCACTGCTCATCCACCATCACAAAAAATGATGGTTTCAGAACAGCTTTATATACAGTCACAAACTGCACTACACATTGAAACAAGCTCAACATTCGCATATATAGAGTTTGTTCTCTGTTATCATGTCTCACAAATCAACGATGACATTTTTATTGTCTTCTTCACTGATTGGGACAAGAGAACTATATATCTATTTCCGAAAGTCAACTGGATCCCGTAAGAGCAAGAAGATCCGTAGGATACAATGAATTTAGACAGATAAAGTATATATAAAGGGAGATAATTAAATTCAATAAGTTATACTTTCCCCTGCGTGGGATCACTTAAGATACAAGTGTGCAGATAAATTGTTATAGAAATGAGAGAATATATACACACATACCACCACATCGATATGCCAGTCCAATTACGGCACAGCGCCTAGCAGAACAGTCATGATAGCATAGCCACTGCTCATCCACCATCACAAAAAATGATGGTTTTAGAACAGCTTTATATACAGTCACAAACTGCACTACACATTGAAACAAGCTCAACATTCGTATATATAGAGTTTGTTCTCTGTTATCATGTCTCACAAATCAACGATGACATTTTTATTGTCTTCTTCACTGATTGGGACAAGAGAACTATATATCTATTTCCGAAAGTCAACTGGATCCCGTAAGAGCAAGAAGATCCGTAGGATACAATGAATTTAGACAGATAAAGTATATATAAAGGGAGATAATTAAATTCAATACAGACAAACTGCACTACACATTGAAACAAGCTCAACATTCGCATATATAGAGTTTGTTCTCTGTTATCATGTCTCACAAATCAACGATGACATTTTATTGTCTTCTTCACTGATTGGGACAAGAGAACTATATATCTATTTCCGAAAGTCAACTAGATCCCGTAAGATCAAGAAGATCCGTAGGATACAATGAATTTAGACAGATAAAGTATATATAGAGGGAGATAATTAAATTCAATACAGGTAATGTATGTGTGTATATATTCTCTCATTTCTATATCAATTTATCTGCACACTTGTATCTTAAGTGATCCCACGCAGGGGAAAGTATAACTGTATTGAATTTATCTGTATATATATATACACTGTATAGAAGAGTTAATGATTTTTTTTATCACGAGTTATAGTTTTATATACATGTATATGTATTCTACATGATAATGAACGAAGAAATACCGGTTTATCAAATAGCATCTTGTCATCAGAAGCATACAGTTTCATTTGATTACAACTTTCTTCGAAAAAAGCAGCAGTAAAATTTGATAGAAAACTATATATTATCAATTATAGTCTACATAAATGTTTTAGAAATATTTAAGATGTAAAGTGACATTATGCCCATCCAAGTGGACAATTGACAGTCTAAATCAGTTTAAATTTTGTCATACCGTAATTCCTTTCAATATCATTATTTACTTCGCCCTAAGTATAAAAAATTCACGATATTTCAAGGAAATTTCTATAAATATCCAGTAACGTTCAATTTATAAAACGATTGCGGCAGTCTTTTTATATTTTAGACATATTTATATTTTTACCTTAACACTTTCCAATATTTGTTGCTCAATCATCATTAAAAAGTCAATCTTTTGAAATATATAGTCAATTCAGCTCAACTTGACAATGGAAAAATGAGGATAATGTCACTGGTGTAATACATAATACTGATTTATTTTGCAGAAAATTACAAGAACTGAAAAATGAAAATGATGAACAAAAGCAGTAAGATTTTTATATTTGCCTTTTTTTTGTTTTAGTCAAACATTATTTTAAATATATATATTTTGAATACTGATAAAATGAATTCTTAGTTATTTCCTTTTATCCTAGGCAGAATGCGCATGCGCGAAATGCATCTTCGTTTTTATGGAATAGTGTATTGTAAAAAGGTCTATAGCAGTAGCTGCTCAGGAAACAAACTAGGAAACGTTCTCAACTTCCTTGTTTAAGTGATGTATTTTAGATATTATACTCAAAGTCCAATAATCTAGACATATGCCCTCACAGACATAAGAATAAAAGTGTTTCTGGGACATCATGGGCCTTCAAATTAAATTAAAGGAGATACACGAATATATTACCCACAACTCATTATTTGAAATGTGCAAAATATTTATTTCATTTGCAGGGAAATTATAAGACTACAAAATGACAATACTGAACTAAAGAAGTAAGTTGTTTTTGTTTCGTTCTTTTAAACTTCATTATTTACTTACATTTATGTCTGACATCATTGTTATCTCATATATGTTTTCATTTTTCTTTATAGCTAATTATAAAAAAAACAGTTGAAACTATTGAAGAGATATGACAGTTTTATACGAGCTGCTCTGAAGTCAGGCGTATCATATTGTACTTTGTACAATTTTATGAAATCTTGATTTTCCCTTTTATATTGACTCATTATGTATACATTTAAAACATTCAAGTATATTCGTATTCGGTATAACCAGTGCGTATGATCTGAGATTCTTTAGTTAAATCAGACTCGTGCGTTTTATAAAGTGCTATCTTATTTATATCATTTTACAATTTGTACTATTGTCATGTCAGGATGCATTTTTTTATTTTTTTGAAAACTAATTATATTTGTTATGAAAGATCATTAATCAATCAATACGTGTCTTTAATTACTTAAAATCTCTAGTTATAGTTAAAACTATTTTATAATTGAATGTCTTTACTGTTTTAAACAATCCGTGTTTTTTTCGGCCTAAGGCCGACTGATTTTACCTTGACTTCCGCTTAAATTAAATTGAATATAGGCAGAATTTTAATTGGTCATTTTAACACTAATAGCCTGTTCAATTGATACTTTAGAAGAGCTTCCGTTATAGGTAGAGGTCTGTTCAATTGCGCGATGGCAAAACTGTTGGAAAAAGATAAGTCAGAATAAATATAAAAACACAATAATGATATTTTCTAGATGTTTCTAACAGCTTTTCAATAAATATATGAAATTAAATATGACAGATCGCCTTTTTGATACCATTTCGTTCGATTGGATTTCTCTTCTCTCGAACCGGGCATAAGACGATTGAAACGAACTTTTGACTAATTTACAGCTGCAAAATTCTCCGTGGAATTAGTGTACAGTAATTACTTAATCTTTGTTTTATTATAAATTCCTATTCAAATCAAATTCCATTTTGATTAAAATCAAATACTAGTAATGTAAGTAATATTGTTTAAATCCAAGATGCGATTAATGGGGCAGGGGGTGGGGGACATTGCGGGTAAAAATGAACCGAAATAAACTATTGAGGACGAATAAAATGTTCTGTTTGCGGTAAGCATGGGTAGTAGTAGTTTATCCTACTCAAATTAAGAACTTTGTCTTCAGCCGAGTATCTTTTTTAAAGATACTTCTTGTTGTCAATTATGTTTTACAATATACGCATTTAAATTGATTTTATCTATTGAATTTTATTATAATTATTATAATTATATTATTATGAAAACGTTTTTAATAATGGTTATGCTTATACTTTTAATTTTAATACACCATTTTGTTTTGTCAAGGTTGTTTATACTTGATGATTAATTTTAAAGTCTCACAATTAATTATTTTTCAGAAGAGTGTCTGAGGCCGACAAACACATTGAAGATTTACAAAACAAAATCAGTCTTGTTAACTCTGAAGCGTAAGTGTTGTAAAATATTACAAGTTTCGTAAAATTCTTCTTTTTACATTTGTAAAACTATTCTGTATAACAAACATCCATTCAGACATGAAGAATATCTAACAAATGAATAATTATTGATCAAAAAAATATTCCTGAAGATTTTCACAGAACTTTTCTATTGATTTGTCGTTAATTTATGATATTTGAGTTGAAATACTATATTCATTTCATGACAAATCATGCCCTATTAGATGTGATATTGAAATTCAATTGTCCGTTATTGCAACATTCAATAAGTGATAAATATGAATGATTTAACTGTATAGTTTATAACATATCAATAGTATTAGATTATTAAAATAAAACACTTTCAGAACGTTCAATCACAAATGGGACTGAACTTTAAACATAGCATTTATTACAGGGAAAAGCAGCTTAAACTCAAAGGGCAACAAGTAGAACAAAATGCGAATCATAAAGCTGATAAAAGGTTTGAGACTTTGTTTTAAAGCTATAGCCTTATGCTAAGAATTATTATCAAATCTTTAGATCTGTTATAAACATTGCATTTGCAAACAGAATAGTTACGCCCTTTATTACATTGATTTATATTTATATTTAAATGGTCGGTTCTTATCTTGAATTTATTACAAATAATCAAAATATTTATTATAAGACCCTTCCTAATATATCAGTAGCAGAGATTAAGATGTTATCTATAGTCCCTGCCAGTAGTAATTAAAAGTTTGAATCAATGGAAGCATTGTTGTTATTTAAGGCCAAACCATGATGAGGTATTGCAACAGAAAGCCTCTGAGATAGATGCATTGCAGGAAAAAGTTGAAAAACTTAGTAGTGAACTGAAAGAATTCGAAGACATTAAAATACAGCTACAAAATGCCAAGTAATTTTTTCATCTATCATTATTGGAAGATTTATAATGTTACAAGTGGGTGATGTTTGTTAATGTAATATCCCTCTCATGCATAACCGCCATGTAACGATAAGATTTGTATATTTCTCCTGTGTGATACTTCATTGTACTTTACATAGGAACATCAATACTCTACATTAACGAAATACAATTTGGTTGTTTCTAAATTAAATATTTTTCACGATATTTTCATCGTTTAATATATACTTGGCACTTGCATTAGATAAATGCGCCAAAATTGAAGTGATTTTTTGATAAGGCAAATAATCTTTTAAAAGGACAATGGATAATGATACAAATACTCATGAATGTGACACCAAGCATTTCGCAACCAATGTAGACTGTAATTAATAACACCAAGAAAATTTACTTCTGCTTACTTTTTAGTACACCATTATATCATATTGGACATTTTATTAGTTTGATCGTAGCTATATCCGAAGGCTGTGGTTTCTTTTGCAGAAAAAGTGTGGAAGAAAAGGAGAAACAAATTCAAGAAATGATAAAAGAGAAAGAAGACATTAAAACTGAGAAAAATAAGCTAGAAAATGAATGTGAAAGTATCAGGTATCAATTTCTTAATCAGATAATAGTGATAATTGCTTAATATTGTTTTTGATATCTTAAATAGCATTACCAATCATCCTGTAAATAATATAAATAAGGACTTTCTAGTGTGATTATCAGTTTGGCATAAAAGCTTATCTTTTGTTAAAATGATTTTACTTACAGGGAACAACTTAAAATAAGCGAAAGACAGTTAAAAGACTTGAAACAGAATTCATCAAATTCAGATGAAAGGTTTGTGTTACTTATTTCACTTAAACTACATCCAAATTATAATTATTATTACAAATTAGTCTCTAAATAATAAAAATCATATATTTTTAACATAAAGAATGAAACAGTTAAAATTTATTTTTTTCTTTTGCTTTGCTCATGTCAACTCACATTCCTAAGTTTAATGGGCATATCGTTAAATCCACTTATTCCGGAAACTTTTGTATTGGAATTAAATCATGCCTTTAATATCAAACAAAGTCTTAATTGTCAAGAAAAAATAATTGATAAATTGATGAATATTGAAAGAAATTTGAGAAATGGCTTTATCCGTGCTTGCCTTATGTCCTGTCATGATTTTGTTTGGTGACCTGCTGGGCTCCTTTTCTTTCCTCGTCGATATCTTTTAAAAACTATTTTTGCATTAAAATTCACAACCAATGTCAAATAAAGGGTCAAGAGAAATATTGAAATGACTTATGACTCGTATTCTTGAAGTGAATTTGCACTATGGTACTATAATTACATTTCTAGACATAAGGAATATTTGTTTCTGAAAGTTACTGCTTTGTTTTTCCCTTTTTGTGTCCATATGTTTGCTTTACTTTTTGTCGTGTTTCATTTTTCAGCTCAAAATCGCAGCAGGCAGATGAAATAAAGCAAAAACTTAAAGAAATTAATGAACTTAAGAATAATCTTACCGAAGCTCAAAGGTATATGGTGTCTTATCTCGTAACAATATTTTGAGTTACTGTTCATAACCGTTAACAAAATTATAATTTTCTCGAAACATTTGTGTATGTGTATTAAACATAAACTGATGTAAATGTTATGTTAAAAATTCGTTTTTATATGTTTATTTAACTCTATATGACTTCAAAGAGCTCAATTCATTGTTGTTTTTATATGTTCATTAAACTTGAAATGACTTGAAGAAATCAATATAATTATTATATTAAACTTTTCCAGTAAAAATGAAAATCTGAAGGCAGAAAAAGATAATCTCGATGAGTAAGTTAATCTAACATTTTCTGAAGTCTATATATTAGAAAACACTCCACTTCACTCCATTTCACCTATTGTATTTTTACATTTGTTTTTGTTTTTTCTTCTTAACCACATCCTGTGTTTGAATATCTATCGGGCTCCATTTATCCAATATCGTAAGGAAACTTACTAAAGGCGGTAAATGTTAATTATTGGGCCGGTCAGATGATATATACTAAGAATATATTTTAGATAGATATTATTTTGTTTTAATATCCCATCTTGAATCAAAACCATTTGTACGTGTGTACAATGTCTTTAACAGTTTTACATTTAAATCTACCATAACAAAGATAATAAAATCAATGAAATTAAAATGTAAGTATGACAGTCCATTTAAAATGTGAAGTTCATAAGTTTATGTATAAAGTTCATACATTTTCAGTAAACTTCGTCAATTAGCGGATCAAGTCACAGCAAAGGAACATGAAATTAATAAGCTGAAAGAGGAACAGGAGAAAATGATTAAACGCAAGGAAGAGTAAGATTCTTTTGTAACTGTTATTAGACTTTTAAGTTTTTTTATCATTATCAAATTTAGATATACCCTTACAATGATAATAAAATTAATCAAATGATAAATTGAGTATGACAGCCCAATATAAGTGTGAAGTTCATAAGTTTATGTATAAGGTTCATACATTTTCAGAAAACTTCGACAATCAGCGGAACAAGTCACAGCAAAAGAACATGAAATTAATAAGCTAAAAGAGGAACACGAGAAAATGATTAAACGCAAGGAAGAGTAAGATTCTTTTGTAACTGTTATTAGACTTTAAAGTTTTTTTTATCATTTTCAAATTTAGATATACCTTAACAATAATAATAAAATCAATCAAATGATAAAGTTAGTATGAAATGCAGGAATTTAGTTGGAAAGGATTATCTATAGAAAAAGATAAAACAACAAGGAAGACGAACAGATTTAAGAATATGATAAATGTAATTATTTTAAACGATTATGTATGTAGATATATCCGGAAATCATTTCTATATACATGGAAATAAAAAACAAAAACATAGAGGATATTTGTTTGTTTTACATGTAAGTTTGAAATATATTTCACTGACAATATTTTCACGAGTGGCGTAGTCACGAGTTAAATATTATAGCTGGTGTTCACGAATGAAATATATTTCAATCTTATATGAAAAAAAATATTTTTTTTTATTTCATGCTTTTAAAGTGACATCATGACGTCACTTCATCAATTTTGAAATATAGTTCTTTTAAATTTTCTCTGAATTTTCTAAAGAAGCAAAATTTACGTTTTATGACGGCATTTACTTTTGCCTGTTATTCCATTTAGATATGATGTTCTTTTAACCGCATTCAAATATAGTTCGGCGACAGTGAAAATTATATTCTATAAATTTCACAAGTGGTTTATCAGAATATAATCATCTGATATATTACAGTAAAACACTGGAAAGCATGAAATAAAAACATATATATTCCTAAACAGAACCATTCAAAAATTGCAAACAGAAAAGAAGGTGGATCAACCAAAGAATAGCGGCAAGAGAAATGAAGGATCAAACAGCCTAGAGGAGAAGTTAAGAAGCGCCCAAGACGAAATTGATGAACTGAAAAACAGGTTGGTCGTAATTAGATAGACACAATTTGTTATAAGAACATAATGAAAGGAGATACAGAGTATTAAATAAAAGAAGACTATGTTTATTGAAAGTGTACATATCGAATTTTATCTAGTTACTTTCAGAGTAGCATTTAATTCATCATTATTGAATAAAAAACACATTGTATGTGATTAATTAACCTACAGATCAGGAAACTAACAATTTGGTTTGAAACTATTATATCGGTACAAGACAATGCACACTGAGACGCAATAGTAATGTCTTAATACATATACAAAACATTTTATATTGAAAGTTATTCATTCCGTTTTGAGATTAATGGCAACGCTTTTGCTAAAGTAATGTACAAAAGTGAATGTTTTCAGAATATACATTTATTACTAGTTATTCATAAAACTTACAATCACTTAACCAAATTTTATTAGTAATAAGTTTTATTATAAATTTGATGCTTTGTCGAATGTATCACATATACAAATTACACCAAACAAAAACAAAGTCTGTATTGTATTTATGTGTGATTTGAAATGACGGTGCTAACGTAATAACACAGTGATGCTTATACTGTTTAGTATTGTTTTAACTGCGTCGAAATATATAATAAAAGGGTAATCATAAGAGTATCTCAATCTATTACTTATGTCAATCTCTCATGGATTTTCTCTAGAACAGTTCACAATTGAAGCTTCCAATTCGTAAAATTCTAGACTCGAAAAGTCAAAATAAAATTCCAGATCAACATCACTTTCAATACCATGTTTATATTGTTTTTGATTTGGTGTTTTAGATTGAGCAAGGTTGTTGGTGCTAACATAATGAACGACAATCCAAATATAACAGACCTAAGTGATGAAAACAGACCAACAAAATTGTCGGAGAAATTTTCCGAGCTTTATGACAATGAATGGACCGATGCATACGAAGAAGCAGAAAATGAATTCAGAAATGAAGAAAAGGGAATTGCTCATCTTTATAAGACGTTACTGGTTAGAAAACATATTGCAAATATATAAAATCATTGCCTCTAAGAAAATTTTGATTAATATAAGATATTTTATACAACCATCTAAACTGCATGTATTTGACTGATATATTTACCTTTTTGATTTACATAGAACGTAAGATTTATTTCACAATACCAGTCGTATTGTATGAGATTAATTTCGATATGAAAAACTGACTCAAAATTAGATATTCTAACAAACTTGATTATACAGTTGTTGTAGTTTATTACTGAATATCGCAATAAATAAAATAATAAGTTGACTATTATACACATTGTGTTTATGCGTTGATATAAACTGGCTGCCAGATAGAGCCATATGACTGTTGGCGCCCTTATAAATTTTATGTTGTTCCGGAATCGGCGACGACATTTCAAGTTGAATGATCTATAATTTGCTGCCTTTCCTTCGTCCAATCGTGGTAAGTTGGTTCATATTTGAGGCCGAGGCGACAACCAACAACCAAGACGGCTCTTGTAGCCACCTTCCCGAGTTATTCACCACCGGTTACACATTCACGTCCCTGGATGGATTGACAATGACCCACTATATCCCTCCAACGCGATGAATCTCTGGAGGGATTCGGCAAGGAGTTGTATTTATAAGGCTGATGTTTTGAATGATGGGTTTTATCTACTGCAACAAATAATTGTGTATGACAAACCAGAATATGCTACTTTTAGTGATTTAAAAGTTATTTTCTTCATTACTGTTTTCAGGATGTTTTTGATTTTTGTAAGAAGAAATCTGAGGAACATGCAAAACACATACGTGACAGTGTCACGACTCTACCGAACGCACCAAAAATGAGACCTAAATCTGCCGCGGTAAGTACAGATAGTTGATGTTTACGACTAACATTTGATTTGCTTAATGTAACTCAATGTTTTATATCACTTTGGATATTTAAACACATATAAATTTTACTGAAAAGTGATATTTTTATTGAACTTATTACCCTGATAAAATTCTTAGAATCTATCTGGAGACAAAATTAATAAAAACATCAAACATTGTGTGTTAATATTATAACAAAGTATTAATACACTTGTTTAGATTTGGCATGTTTCAAATGCGTTTGCGTTTTTTTGCATACATTTAGTTCATACATGTATTAATTATATTATGTAAGAGGGGCTTTCCTTTTATTACAAGTTATAGTAAGTTTAAATCTCAAAAAAGTATATTTGTACAGTATATTGAAATATTTCTATCTCTTAGATTTAGATTGTTTAGCACACTTTACACTGAGAAACGTGCATTTTTTTTAATAATATATACATAAAAGTACAATTGCTCAGTCTAATAATAATCACATCTAATTTTAATAATGTAGATTAAAGATTCGAAAAGCAAAGTCGCTTGTATATTGTGGCTCATGTTAATCGAAGCATACAGAATTTTAAAAGTATATGAATAACAGTAGATTTCAAATGTTTTTTTTCAAGGTATGTTTACATGTATATTATTAAGTCAAATAAGAAAAAATATGAAAATATTAGAACGTTATTCTAACATTGGGTGACAGTGAATTGAATACAGCCATGTTACTTATACGAGCGTTAAATATATATTCCACTTGTACATATCGTTTATGATAGTTTTAAATTGATTGCTTTTTATAGATCGGTGTAACTAACCAACGCCAGCTAAAGGAAGTAAGAAAGAGTTTTGCCCCAATGCTTATTGAAAGTGTATTTCAGGTAATTATTTTCTAATAACATCATAGATTTTTCATCATCACTTATAACTTTACAACATGCTCGAATCTTATTAAAAACAACAACAAAAACAAACAAACAAACAAACCAGTTCATCACTCTAAATTCATTTCACATACGGTTTAATCTCCTTACTTGCTGTTTCTTCCATTGGCAGACTTACGTGAGTGAAAAGAAACTGAATTTTACGAAAAAGGAGAACACGGGGAAGTTTATCAAGAAGTGTGTTGAAATATGTTGGCTGATGAATTCCCAGGATCCACCGGTCATTCTTGAAACATCTGTCGTAGATGGGAAATCTTTTGATGCTGACAAATTCAAGACGTACACAAAAACTGGCAAACTGGTTGACTATGTCGTATGGCCGCCAATGCTGTTACATAAAGGAGGACCCATGCTTTGCAAAGGCGTAGCTCAAGGAAAATGATTAAAATAATTAAACCTGAAAAGCTTTTATCGTTTCGGTATATTTGGCAGCTTCAATCACACTAGGTTTTTACTACGTATATAGCTGTAATGAAATCGTTTTTAACCTATTTTTTTAACCAATGAAATTGTAAGGTACAAAAAAGAGCTGATTAAAGATTTATACAATTCGTTTCAAATGGAAATGATTATAGTGCAACAGTATTGAAATGTAAGGACAATATATATAGATATTAGATATTAAAAAGTTTGGCTACATAGTAGCATGTGTTATGACATTATTAATTTATACAAAAAAAAACAAGAGTTTTATATGTGTGAGATACATTGAGAAAATGGGATATCTTATATGTTTTTTTCTGTACATTTATTAATGTATCAACACCCGAATATTTCCAATATACGTGTTTAAAATTAATCAACCTATAAGCTTAACCAGTGTGATTCCTTTATGAGCAGTGGTTAAAAATGAAACCATTTTGTAACAGTATTGATATAATTATGTATATGCAAAACGTATGTGAAATCAGACGACACAAATAAAATAATACTACAATTTTACCAATGTATACTTTTTATGCGAACAATTTTCGGCTTCATTTTCATTCTATTGAACTGTCTGGTAATTATGCTTACAAATTATTCACAAGCCATTGTGTTTATTTTGTATAAATCTAATATATACAATGCATATTGTTTTTTATTTAGAATACAGCAGGCATTTGGAAAATCTAAATCACACTTAGCTGGTTTCTATAGAAATGAGTGATTGTATTAAAAACATTCTATTTCTTTTGAGTATATTATACTAGATAAATTTATATCATTTAATTAAATGAATTCAATTGATGAGGTTAAAAATTACTTTCAATAACTCAAACTATGTTTACATGCATAATACTAAGTATAATTTGTATTATTTGACTTGTTATTTATTTTCTGAAATAAATCATATTCATTTTATATTATTTCTTTCTTTGTCTATCTAGAAAATTATGTCCAAAGTAGATCTTGTAAATTCAGAATTGGAATATGCTAAGATGCTCAATTTAGTTTAAAGAACACACGCACAATAATTCTAAATACTCCCAACATAAATTGCAATAAATGAATATTACGTTTAAACTTGCTTATTATGGAGATGGCATTTCATTTTTATCAGACATGCTTGTATGACGTGTTTTAGTTTGAAAATCCATTAAATTCAATGTTACTATATTTTAGCAATATGCTCATCATAGTTGGATGGGTGCTGCCAATTTGAAATCTTGATAACAATACACTACGCAAACGTCTGATTAATGATGAAGATCTAGAATGGTTCTACATTTAATATATAATGAAAAATTTTATACAAATTTATGTGCTTGAGGTATCAGACCCATGTAACGTTCAAATAATTATCTAGAGGTTAATTTGATTTTTTTTCAGTCGGTTTTACTGTGTGCATTACAAAACAACCGGGACATTTGTTTTCCTTTTAACAGAGATCGAATTAACATAACGTTTTTAAATGCACCCAGTTATCAAGAGACCTCTCTTTACTGATATAAATCCTAGAATAATCTGTGTGGAAATAGAAATAAATTATTTTCGGCCTGACCTTAAAGATCTGCAAAATCGTTGAAGATATATATCATTGTCATCTCGTATTTGCAGCTGTGGTACCAAAACATTTTGTATGAAATAGCAATATCAAATGCATTTTATTTCAAAAACAAATATTATATGAATGTCGCAGACTTAGCTTTTTATGTATATAAAAAGTACATGGCAAATCATCATGCGCCAGCGAAAGAAGAACTCAATTTTCAACAGCAGAACAGTGACGTTTTTAATTAACGATCACGAGGATTTTTCAACAATAACGATATTTGATTCAAAGATCCCAAGAAATTCTCAACGTTAACGGTAATTGAATCAACGATCCCAAAGAATTTTCAACAACAACGGTAATTGAAAAAACTCCAAGGAATTTTGAACAATAACCGCATTTGAATCAAATATCCAAATGAATCAGAAATCTAGAGCAAAGTTGAGATGAAGCACGGGCATCATTGTACAGCTGCTATACAACGCTTTATGCCTGCGGGTAGGAGTATAAATTCGCAATGGATTTAGGTCTAATACAAATAGTTTAAAATCAAAGACTCGGTTAGATTGAGTCTGTAAATAAGTGTAAGATCTCTCACTTGGCAATCTGAACATCAATGCTTTCAGACCAGATATATTTTTGATAACTTGTCTTAGACAACTTTATGCTCTATAAGCATTATAGGTGAAGTACATATTTTTTTTCAAAACAAGTCATTAAAAAGTGCTATATAAAATAAACAATTTGCTTACAAAATAGCGGTATATCTATCATGAATTTAGACTGATAATTTAATTACAGAAATGAACACATATAAACATTTATTTATATGTTTACATCTATACAAAATTAAGATTTAAGAAGTGTGCATACATAGAAACTAAATACATCTAAGTAATACACTAGCATACAAACAAGGTATAAATACTCGAAGACTTGTAACATGTGAGTATTTATCATACTATAATAATGAATGTCTGTCTGTAAGCACAATTATGCTCGAACAAATTGAATTTCGCTTAAAGCCATTAAAATTTTATTTTATGACTATTGATATTTCCTGTAAGCTTGAATGGCATGGTTTATACTTGATTCCACATAACAAACACGTATGAGTTATACAGTGTAGAAGAATTTTCAATTTAATTTTCCATGTTGAATAGATATTGCTTATTCACTATATTTATTTAGTTTCTCATAATCTCATTGTGTCTATATGACATTATCAGTTTTACATAACATCGGACAGTTTTATTAAGACAAATTGCTTCTGTAAACGATGCACCACTTTGTTTTAGACAATGACGAAACAAATAAAAGTTTATGTTCTTTATTTACAATGCGGATATTACATTATCCAAATACATTTTAGGATTATATAATTTTCTTTTCAAGTGCCCTTATATCAGCTCTATGGGCCGCAAGGAGTGCCTTTTTTCTTTTATCACATTCTTTCACAGAGCTTTGATCCACAGGAGTACCCATGAAAGCGTATAGTTCTGGAAGTTGTTTCACGCTCTCGTCAACGTAGTAACTACACATAATCCCAAATGAATTCACTGTTATTGTCTTTGATTTAACAAATATGCAATATAACATTTTATCACATAAAACGCGGCGCGGAAGTGTAATAAAGCCATTTAATTAAAATGATATTACATTAGTGTAATAACATTTTGATGTGACGTCATTTGCGCTATAAATACACATAGCGTTATAGCGTTACACTAAAGGCGCGTCAATGAAAAATGACTCGTTTTAACTGTAAACCGTTCTCTTTTTGAATATCTGATAAATAGAATATTATATTCGTGTAAATTCAATGCTTAATTTATTGAACTCATTGAACAAAACAACATTATGCTCGCCTGAGGCTCGCATAATATGATTTTATTCAACTCGTTCAATACATTTAGTATTAAACCTACACTCATTCAATGTCCTCTATATATCCAACTTGTAGAAATTACAATGTGTTGTCATCATATGAATACTATTAAGGAACTATATAATTATATAGTTTAAAAATGTAATGATTTTAAGTCTTGCCTTATACAAAAGAATTTAATATTATATAAGAAATAATTTTTGAAACAAATATTTTGTTAAAATTCTCACGTTTGATTAGCTTGAATGCAAATATGTGTGGATGAACATGGTTGTTGAAATACTGTTTTGAATTCTGAACTTATTTTATAATTTAAAATAGATGAGTGGATAAGAATCATGTCATTACTTTTTTCACTTGCAGTACTGAGTCGTCCATATCATCGTCTAGATCAGGGTCATTTACAAACTCTATGAACAGTTTGTTTCCGTCATTTGTATTTTTCAGTGCTGTAAACTTTGCTGCAAAATCCTCTCAGAACAGTAAAATCTTTTAAAATAGCAGTGCAACTTTCCCTAGTTCTGTTTCGGCCATTTTCAAGTTTTCTTTATCCATAAGATCCGCTGTTGAAAAGAATGAAAACTGTGAAACCAGTTTACTCTTTTTTTTTCAAAGTGAGTTTTATTGCCTATGTTATGACGTAAAATGATGAAAATAGCTTTATTTAAAGATTTGATAGAAAAAAAAAACAAATATTGAGATATTGAAATGAATTATAACTATCCTCAGTATGCTCAAAAACACGTATACCTCAGATATTGTAATGAATAATTACTCATTAAGCATAAAGGCACATAAGCACCAGAAACGTTTTATTTCTTCTTATAATAAGGGAAGATGAACGTTTAAGTGGTGATGGTTTAAGAGCATGATAAATGCTAATCATTTGAATATGTAGCCCTGAATAGAGAAATAATCCATCATAAAAGAAGTAAAATGTAATTAGAGTAGTATTTTGACTCACTTAAAAATATTCAATATCTAAAACTGTATTTATTACTCAAAAGCAACAGAAGCGAAAGATTGTTCATGTTTTTTGCCAATGGGTCGTGTAAGGGGTTGCGTATATTGAATGCCGTCTTCTTTGTTGATCTTGTTTATCATATTTTACTTATAAAAAACAATAACAGGACAAAAATGAAAAGAGTTTAAGAAATGAAATTTAAAACATTTCTTTGGCATAATGGTCTTTTAAATGCATCTTAAATACATGTATCAATTTTACAGGTTGTTCATTGGTCAAACACCAATCTGTTATTATGCGTCTGTGCTTTCTGTCCATATAAAAGTGATAAATAAATTATATGATTTATAAATGTGATGTGATAGTAGACTTAATAATTTGACATTTATTGCATATAATTTTTTTGTTTATGGCATATTCTCATGTGAATTTGCGTCCCGCTTTAAAAAATCAGTCAATAGATAAATAGAAAAAAATTGACATCTGCCCTCACAACCCCCACCCGCAAAAGTGTCAGTGTCACATAAAAGGTATTAGGTGTTCTAGAAACTTTAGCATAATACTGTACATGTATTAACCATTCAGAATTATAGCTATTTTAAATTATACAAAAAGCTATTACAGAGGGCAAATATTTAACTTTATATTTCAACTTAGAGGGGGGGGGGGGGTGTGCCGAGGGAGAGGGCAAATGCCTAAAAGTACATTTTGTAACTTGATTTCTTAAAACGCGAGTGGGAAGACCAATGCGATGAGTGATCATATCTTTCAAACA